CACCACGCATGACCAATTCACGTATATTGCCTACAAAGCTGTCAAGTGATGAAGAGGTAAGGGGACACGTGCTAACATGCGTACATGGGAGTCCTGCATGCTGGGAGCCCCTGGGAGCCCCAGGGGTCTCCTAAGACGCAGACAATACACTAGTACAAAGGGCTGCATTGATGAATCCCCTAGCTTTGTTGTCGAGCACCGCAGAGGCCAAGACCAACCTGGTTCTTGGGGGAATACCTCCAACCTGGTTCTTGGGGGAATACCTCCACTAGTCTTGGCTGGCATAGGCACCAAAGGTGTCAGTACATGCAAGAGCTGCGACCATGAATTACACGACTGCCAATGCCTACTATTTTTTGTGATTCACCTTACTGTAATAAGCTTGTTCATTACAACAATAGCTTGCAACTGCAAACACAGGCTAGCCCTACTTGTGGTTTGGCGGGAAGCCGGGAACATTTGTGTTATGCGATTTGCGGGCGACTTCGGAATTCTGCAGCAAACAAGGAATGCTTAAGAAGTCCCTTATAAAAGCTGGGCTCAAATATCGGCGTATGTGTCTTTCAGATGGGCAAGCGCTTAATGCTGTGAGCGTTACAATAACACCCAGAAAGCGTGTCTTGATCAACACCGTGCCAAGTGTGAAAGCATGCAATGCTTACAACTATTGGTTTTCACCCCTGCTTCTAGGCTGCCTTGTAAGGAAAAGCGGTGGCGGACCTTAGCATGATAACCGTGGTGGTGCTGGTTGCAATTAGTGTTGGGGTTAGCTAGCAGCAGCCGGGATCCTTCGCGGCCAAGGTAAGTGGGGTGAGGGGGAAGGACTTCCACTTCAAAGGACTGAATCCATACTACCACCGCCAAAGTAACCACCGTGGGGGCGTGAATAGGTCGGGGAGAAGACCCCCCCCAAAGATAGCAAAACGGTTAAGGCTAGTAGAAGCGCTCAGCTACACTTTAGGGTACGGGCACATCGTGCATTGAGCCCTTCAATTAGGCTGCAAGCCGCAGGTAATGGCACAAATGGTAAACCATGTGCATCGTGGTGTCGAGTTGGACAGATTACCATGGAAACGTAACGCCATGGAGTGCGCCTCCATGGGGCTGCGTTTCCATGGCTTCAATGTACTGCTATGTATGTATGGGTAGCCCGCTGTGCTTAGTACCGCTGGTCAAGGCACGAAAAACTAACAGTCCCCTTTCGAAGGAGGTTTTCGAAAAAATAGGCCCTTGGGAGGCCCCTGGTCGTCTACAAAATATTTCAGGAGTCGAACGTGGGGGCGCTCGAAAGGTATGGGCCTAAACCGTCCCGGATCGTGGGCGGGGTTCCACGATCGCCCTCGAGTGAAGTTAGAAACACTGCTCACGCACCTCATCCGCCTGCTTCTTCAGATCCTCCGCTGTGCTCCTGGCTGACAGGTGGCTGTCGGTCTACAGGCAATGCATAGAGTAGTTAGACTAAGAAAGGACGCGCAGCAGATCCAAATCTGCCCTCAGAAACCCGGCCCACCTACCTTGTCCTCCGCAAGCAGGGCGACGGGCTTGCATTGGCGGATGGAACTCGCTGCATTTGCAGCAAGCAACTTCTCTTGCAGCAGCAGCCGTTCCCTCTCCAGCTCCTCCGCCAGCCATTCCACCTTTCGACGCAGATGTCGAGGTTCTGCCTGCATTTGTGCTAGCGCAGCCAGGAGGGCCAGGCGGACTAGCAAACAGCCCGAGCCATCAACCTTAACAGAGGCTTTGTGCAACACTGGAGAAGGGGTTTTGCCTAGGATGGAGGAGTCGCAAAAGCGTTTTGGTGGTGGTCGGGAAAAGATGTATGCTTTAGGTTGATCCCGTGAAGGCAATCACGTGCCTCGGTCATCTGATGATTACTTCGGACGGCGTCAATTCGGTACTGCTAATTGCTTGATCGCACCCTGTTGTGTTATCTTTTTGTGCGAGTCGCAAACCGACGCTGTTTACGGCAGTCCAGGACTTTGAATGAAAAGCGGTTGACTCATTTATCGCCAGCCAATGTTGCGATTAGTCCGCAGGTTAGCGAACATTGTTTGTACAATACCTGCTTGGTGATTTGCATGCATTTGAAAGCTTTGCGGCCTGCTTTAGAGTGTTTGACCCACGGGTCCGTCGGTAGGCCTCCGAAACCCTGCTCGGGAAGTCGTACGAAGGTGTTATATGACTTCTAGAACATTCGGAATTACGTTGGCAACTTCCGCTAGCTTTTGTATTACGTTGCGACAGGCCGTAGTAGGTTTGATATTACGTTCCACCAAATGTCGTACAAAATGCCGTAATTTTCATCATTTTATAAGATATGGAAATGGCAGGAAGGACTACTGGTACCTGTACGTTAGATAATTGGATGGCGGTATTGGTATCTCTGCTGGCAGCGTTCCCTGGATTGCAGTGTTGGTAGAGACAGGAGCATTTAAACCCTTTGTGTGATACCGTGTTTAAGAGTGGCCAAAATTCCAGCGCTGCCCAGAAAAACATTAAGTGCCGGAAACGTATACAAATTCTTTCCAGTTTCAGGATAACATTAATCAAAAAGACTTTACCTGTCGTACGGTATGACTGCTTGGCTTCATGCATGGGATTCCCAAGCATGGGGTCCATACGAAACGCATGGGGTTCAAAAGCATGGGGTCCATACACTAAACGCATGGGGTCCAAGGCATGGGTAGGGTCCACACACCAAATGCATAGGATCCCAAAACATAGGGTTCACAAACCATACGCATGGAATCCAGAGCATGAGGTCCATACACCAAACGCTTGGGATCCAAGGCATGGGGTTCATCATACGTCAAACGCATGGGATCCAAAGCATGGAATTCAAATTGACTGTGTATTTGACCTACCATACATTAGGGTAGTAGCCGTACCCCTGTTAACATCCTGCTCTCTCTGCACCTCTCGTTTCTATTATTCTTGCACCTGCTCACTCTGACCCTCCCTCACCATCTTACTCCCGCAGCTCGGCAGCTACTGCGATGCTGCCCAGGCCGCCGCCGACAGTGCCACGAAGAGTGCAAGGGGCAGCAGCCGGTCATGCAGGGTGGAGGTGGTCGAGAGGTGGCCGTGGACCCACAGCATGCTGGTGGTTACATGCATGGTGCCTGCATGCATGGGGGTGGTGCTGGTGTTGGTTGTAAAATGGTGAAAAGAAGAAAGACCATGGCAGTGGTGATGGTGGATCCATTGTGAAAAGGGTACGATGGCGTGCGAAGTTTTGTTGGCTGAGAGCGGTCGCATGAGTGGGCTGTGAGAAGCACTTGTTGGGTGCGGGCAGCGGCCCAAGGCAGTGCTGGGGTTGGGACTAAAGGTAGGGGTGGAGGAGTGCGCAGATCGGTGTAGCTTTTTAAGAGGCCCACTAGCTTTACTCCCGTGTAACCCAAACACATGGAAGAGGTACGTACCGTATCCGCCCTGTTCTCCCTGTCACATCAACTCCGCACAACACTTGCATGCGCCACTCCAACCACTCACTGTTTGCACACTCCTATTTGCTGTCTCCCCTCCCTCGTGCCTTTTCCCTACCTCATGCCTACATTCGCCCCATGCACGCAGGATGACGCACCCTCCAAGAAGCCGCGTGTGGAAGCAAGGACAACATCTTCGGAGAGGCCATTGGCAGGGGCCGCAGGCGCACGGAGGAGGGTTATACGATCTACAGCGAGGAGGAGCTGGGGCTGGGCAAAAAGGGCGGCGACACGGACCTCTGTCCCTTTGACTGCGACTGCTGCTATTGTGGGCATGGGCACGTGGGCAGCATGTGAGAGCATGTGGGTGGAGTCCGTTACGGCTGTGACTATTGCTGCTGCTGAGGGTGTGGCTTGGTGAACGGGTTGGTACGAATCAGAGTGGGATATGCGGGTTTAGTGGATGCTCTCCAGTCCTGGCTAGAGGCGCAAGCTGAGATACAAGAATGCGGGCATGAGGGCCCCCTGTGCAGGTAGGAACGCATGAATAGCTTAGGGCTGAAAACGGATAGGGTGCGCACGGAAGGCGTATGAGTGTTTAAGCGAATGGAAGAACGAAACCAGAGCCGCTGGACTGTTAATTACTGGGGTGCACTGGATTCGCACACAGAGAAAGGCCCACCACCCCTAGTGGGATTACATGAGTTTGCGTGGACTGGTAAAGCCCACGTGAATTTGAATACTTGTTGGCGAAAGTGAGGGGGGAGGTCCACGCGAAGCGGTTTGCTGATATGGCGATTAACAACTAAACATACACGCCCTCGGTCGACAGCTGAAGGTACGGTCCGTACAGGTACGCTGCTTAATACTCTATAACAGGACCGCCATTTACTCTAGGACCTGACTGAAACTGTATTATAGCTACCAGCACAGGATGTCCGAATGGCTTGCATAATAGTGATGTGCGTGTGCGTCGTCAAAGGGTTCTTGAAGCTTCGCTAGCGTGCGGCAGTTAGTAAAGCAAGAAAGGAGTTCGTTGAATATACTATGCAAAGCAAATGAGTATGAGTAAGCAACTAGGTGTGGACTGTTATTTGAGGGCTTGCACGAACGCAAGCAGACATAGGGACACCGACCACAGACATCCAGGTTGGAGGAAGGACCAACCCACCCTACCAGGTTTTTGAACACTTACAGCAGGTAAACTTGGGCTCATCAACGAGTTACATGCCTTCGCGACCCTAGCTAACCAGCCCTGACTTTAGCCCCAACCCCAAACTGCAAAAGCTATAGCAGCAAAACCGCTGGAGGAATGCATGTTCCTATGACATGTAGTTATTGCTGGCAGCGTTGCAACCTGCTAACGAGCAGTCAAGTGGGACTGCATGTCAGCCGGCACAGGGGCTTCTGTGCGCCACTGAGCAGCACGCGGCACTGCAGCTTATAGTGTCTGACGCCTTGCAAGTATCCTTTCCTTTCTGCGGTGTGGAAGTGTAAGCGCCCACCAGCGACGACGTCGTACAAACTAGCTAGGTGTCATGCAGCCCAGGCTGCCTAGATAACGCGAGCTTCTCTTGAGAAACAAGTTTTGCTCTTCTCCCACTCAACTTAATGCTTGCCGGAGCAGACGATAGACTGCTTAGGTAGAAACCTCACCACCATTGACTCGCTACAGGGTCACCTCTGCTTTACCTAGCCCATATTCCCCAAAGTTGCCTACATATCCGCATTCATCTACCAGATTCAAGGGACAATAAATTGATCGCAACCGGCTCAGCAAAAAAAGTTTTCTCCAACGCCGTTGTGCGCAACCGTTGACGGGCCCCACTCCAAGTATCTCAGTGGTAAAACTCACGAACTTCTATAGGCATATTAGCGTATGGACGACCAAACATCGAATTTCATGCAGGGGCCTTAATAGTGCGAACTCTAGTGGTTGGACGCGACTTCAAATCCAGCCTCTCTAACAAGTAAGCAGACGACCATTTTACTTGTCTTTACTCTTGGACAGCTTGCCCATCGCTGTGTTCTTGGCTCGCACCTCGCAATGATTGTTGACTGCCTCAGTACTTGCGGCTTTCTCCTGTTGTCAACCCCACTTGCATCCATTAGATTACATTTTCGACATCATGATGCTGGCTAATTGACCACTGTGTTGACGTTCTTGGACACTATGGCAGGAAGTTGAGACTGGCGGTCGCCGGAAGCCACGAGCAGTACAAAGACCACAGTGGAATACGCAGGCATCAAGCGATACTCGGAGTAACAAGAACCGCAGCCTAGCGTGGGCCTGCTCGACAGGCCCACGCCAACTCCACAGTTACAACGGCAGGCCTGCAGACTCCAGACAGGAGCAGCCCCCCACAGGTGCAGCCGCAGCGGGCTGCTCTGCTGGGCTCTCCTCGGGAGCAAATGACGCGGTCGTGGGCTTTGCAGGGCTCCATCGTAGAGGCTGCTGTATCCGGATCCTTAGGGCGGGTGGAACACAGCGAGACGCATGTTGTCGACGGCAGCCTAATTGGCACACGCAGCCCTGACAGCCCCAGGGGATCGACGCTGTGGCAAACCTGCCGAATACCGCTAACAGCTCGTTCTGTTAGGCAACCGCCAACAACGGACGCAGCCCAAGGAAACCGCCACGCCAATGCGTGCTGCAGCTGCCAGTATAGCGAGTTACGACCCCAGCAAATGATCAGCTCACCCACCAGTAACAGCACCACCAGCAGCCGCCTCAGCTGCTCGTACCCATGCGGCAGCAGCAGCAGCGTTGCGACTACGTCACCCCTGTCCTCCCTCATGGGGCGGCCTTCCTGCCACCGCAGCTTAGGCGTTGCATCGTCGCCTTCGCATGGCCCTGCCAAGCTGCCATGCAGCAGCAGTTGCGACTGTGGGCTTCACCTTGGGCGAAGTAGAAGCGCCGCCGCGTCCGTTGTAACTGGCGGCACCAGCAGCGGTGGCAGGAGCGATAGCAACCGGCAAGGCTTCGTAGAAGGAGGCTGCTTCAGGCGTTGTTCAGCAGCGGCGCAAGCTGCGGGGACAACACCAGCCGGGGAAGCAGGTCGCGCGGTGCTGCTGCCAGCTGCAGCGGCGACTCGCCTCAGTGGCATCAGCAGCGGCTGGGGTAGCAGCAGCAGCCAAGGAGAAGTTCTCCTGGCGTCTCAACGACCTGCGCGTCCTCAGAGCAGGCCTGGGCCAGCATTTGAAGACAGCAGCAGCAGCCGGGGAGGCCCCCAACTTGCATCCGCCCCAGCAGCACCACCCGCCGTTCCTCAGGGAGACGCCTATCGCCACGACCACCACGAGCCCTTACACCACCAACACCATCACCCTGACCATCAGCCGCCGCAACGGCGGCAGCAGGAGCCGCAGCAGCGACCGCAGCAGCATCAAGACCGCGAAGAGGACACGCATGCGGAGGCGCCCACTGCTCCTCGGCAGCAGCACCACCACCACCAGCACCAGGAGCAGCACCGGCGGCACCGGCACCGCCGGCGAGGAACAGCTACCTCCTCCTCCTTCTCTTCCTCGCTCACCTCCCATCTGGCCTGGAAGAGCAGCAGCACCGGCAGTGGTGGCATCTCATGGCCCAAATCGCTGGTCCTGCTGCTCCTGGCAGTGCTAACATCCCTGGTACCTCCAGCTGCGGCGCAGTGCCCGGCAGCGCCCATGGTCTCCGCCTACGTTCAGAGCCAGTGCACCTACAGCTACGACCAGTCTCTCTGCCTGTTCGTCACATGGTGCCCCAAGTGCAGCTCCCCCGCGCAGCAGGCCTACACCTCCCTCGACATGTACATCTGCGCTTCCGGGGGGCTTACCTACGTGGACTCGGACTGCACCGGCTTCTCCACATGCGTTGCGCCCACTCCGTCGCCGCCACCGCAGCCTCCATCGCCGCCCTCGCCACCGCCGGTCCCCAGCCCGCCGTCGCCGCCGTCACCACCCAACGCGCCCCCGTCACCGCCGCCTCGACCTCCACGACCGCCGCCGCGGCCGCCGCGCCTGCCCATGCCACCAACGTTTGCACCCTTGCCACCCAACCTTCCCCCCGGTCCGCCCGGGCAGCCGCTGCCACCTTCGCCGCCCAGTCCCAACCCGCCATTGCAGCCAGGGCCGCCCCCGCTTCCGCCGTCACCGTTCCCGTTGCCACCTCCGTCGCCATCGCCACCGCCGCCCAGCCCGCCGCCGCCGCCACCGTCACCTCCACCACCAAGACCACCTTCACCTAGCCCTCCAACTCCGCCCTCGCCCAGGCCTCCTCTACCGCCGACGCCTCCATCTCCTCCCGGTGCCATCCCGCCCTCCCCACCTCCATCCAGACCACCTGCGCCGCCCTCGCCCAGCCCACCTCCACCCAGCCCGCTGCCTCCAAGCCCTCCTGCGCATCCTCCTCCCAGCCCACCTTCTCCTGCTCCGCCTATTCCACCAGCACCACCGTCCCCTCCCGGTGCCATCCCGCCTTCGCCGCCGCCACCAAGCCCACCTTCGCCGCCGGCGCCCAGCCCGCCGCCACCAATCCCGCCATCCCCTCCTCCACCCAGTCCGCCTCAACCAAGCCCTCCCGCACCTCCCTCACCGCCGGGCGCCGTCCCGCCATCTCCGCCGCCGCCGAGCCCTCCTAGCCCACCATCCACCATCCCTCCACCTCCAAACCCCACCGACCCGACCGCCTCTGTTCCACCTCCACCCAGCCCGCCTGCCCCGCCCGGCGTCAACCCTCCGCCGCCAAGCCCTCCAATCCTGCCTGGCACGAATCCCCCGCCGCCAAACCCACCTACTCCACTAGCTTCCATCCCTCCTCCACCCAGCCCGCCTGCCCCACCCGGCGCCAGCGCACCGCCGCCTCCCAGCCCTCCTCCATCCGGCGGCAGTCCACCACCACCAAGCCCACCTGCCCCGCCAGGCGGCAACCCGCCACCGCCCAGCCCTCCCCCACCACCTAGCCCACCTGCCCCGCCCGGCTCCAAACCTCCGCCGCCGCCTGCCCCGCCCTCCACAATTCCACCGCCTCCACCCAGCCCGCCAGTCCCACCGGGCTCCGCCTCTTCCCCGCCTCCAAGCCCGCCGGTCCCACCACCGTCGCCCCCACTCCTCTTCCCTCGCAACCCGCCTCTCCCTCCCTTCCCTCCCTTCCCACCTCAGCCTCCCATCCCACCGCTACCTCCCTTCCCTCCAACGGGTGCCGCCAACCCGCCTCCGCCCCCATCCTCCTCAACCACACCCACGCCCCCATCCTCCTCCTCCTCCTCTTCCCCTCCACCTCCATCCTCATCAACCTCATCCCCTCCACCTCCGCACTCACCACCCCCACCACCACCTCCGCCCTCACCACCCCCACCACCACCTCCGCCACCGCCATTCCCACCGCCTCCCTCGCCTCCGCCTCCATCCCCCGCGCCACCGCTCTCACCTCCTGCGCCGCGTCCTCCCGCTGGCGCTGTCAGCCCGCCTCCACCGCCGCTGCCGCCTCCAAGCCCAGGGGCACTTCTCTTTGAGGTGGCGCAAGGCTACCAGCTGCGAATCGGCTACACAATGCCGCTGGTCCCCACCTCTGGCGTCCTTAACGCGGTATCCGCAGACATCGCCTCGGATCTAGGCATCCCAGCTGCTGACGTCACCACACAGCTGGCGTCCCAGTACATGTCGACGGTGTACACCCTGGTGCCGGACGCGTCCTCCTCGTCTTCTTCCAGCGCTGTTTGTACGGCGGAGTTGGAGGTGGCTGTTGCGGCGACCATGTGTACGCAGCTGCAGCTGCCCTCTTGCAGCTATGTGGTTGCTGAGTGTGTGAAGCCGGGCGGGAGCTACGCAATGTCTAAGGTGTACTTCTACCCAGGCAGTAGCAGCAGCAGCGGGAGTAGCAGCACCGGACGGCGGAGAGCGGCATTACAGGAGGTGACTGGAAAGAGGATGCTGCGGCAGCAGCAGAAGGAAGAGCAGCTAGCGAGGCGGGGACGGGAGGTGCTTCAGACTACCTCGTCTCAAAGCGTGGCGATTGCAGTTCGTATTCTGATGGACAACCAGACGAACAATGCGCCGTTTGTGCTGCAGCTCTTCTCAAAGACGTTTACTCTGCTAAACTGGAAGGTGCGTGCAAGTGAAAGGTTTCGGGCCTTGCATGTGTTGCAATTTGACAAACCCGGCCCAAGGTGGCATAACGAGGCTTCGTCTGATCCCCCGGCTTCACCGCTTCCCTACGTTTTCGCTCGCTCCCAACCCGCAGGTAATTAACCCTGCATCCGGCAACGTAACCCAGTCGAGCTCCGTCGATGCCATCTTGCGCAACCCCTCTTCCTCCTCCAAAGCCACCCTCTACATCCTCGACACTCGGGTCACAGGCGACATTGCCAAATCTGTGGGCCTCGCTAGCTCCCAGGTAGGCAGGGTGCCATTTGCAGGTCTGCAACAGATAAAGAGTGGACGAAGGAGGAACGACAAAACCTGGACAGGGTTGGAAGGCAAAAAGGCCATGCCTATGCCTGTACGACACAGTATGACCCGTGGCATGCCGCATATGCCCTCATACCCACGCCAGCATTTCCGATGCCTGTGCTCTTAGATGTACGGCAACTCTCAACACTACTTCGTCGCAGGTGCTCATTGAGCGGCAGGGTGTGGTGGAGCGCATTCCGGCTGCCTCCAAGAGTTGCTCCAACCCGCGGCTGGGGGTGCTGTGCGGGGCGGATGCGGTGGGGGCCATCATCGGAATCATCCTGGGTGTGCTGGTCCTCATCGTTCTGGCGGGACTGGGCGTGATGTACGCCCGGCGTGGAAGGGTGAGTGGCTGCGTGGGGCCTGGGTTGTGTGCGGGGATTGGGCGGGGGATGCATTGGATGGAAGTGTGGAAACGGCCACCGTGCCTTCCCAGTTGTTTAGTCGGTTGGATGGATGGGTACACTCTGTTTTAATGCCATGTTGGGGTCTTGCCGCTTCTGACCTTCCCCTCCCTGCTTGCTGTACGACTCCTTGCAGATGGGCAGAGTGGTGGTGATGGACGACTTCACATGGGCTCGCAAGTACGCCCACATTGTGCCCTCCAATGTCATCGCATCGCCGTACGTCACACAGTACGGCATCTCCGATCCGGCAGCTACAGCTGGGTACCGCTAAAAGGGCAGGGTTCAGTTGCAAGCCGTGCATGTGCACCGCGAACCGGTATGTTGTCGTGCGGGGCGGAGGGACATACTGGGTATGCCGTCTGCAAGCTGGTTATCAGCCGTGTGCTGAAAGGCTCGACGCATGCACACAGAGGTAATATAGTATACACCCATTTAAAATTTTTCTTTGTATGGCTACTCTTGCAACACTAACCACGGACGTTGTACGCCAAGGACAGTGGGTGACAAGAAGGGCAATATGCGGAAGCGGAGTGTGGTGCCCAGTTGAACGGGGTGTTGTGTAGGGGTGTCACTTACGGGCTAGGCAGGTGACTTGCTCCTTACCGAGTTGCGTGTGGCAGATAATGAGCGCTCGGGGCTAATAAGGGGTGCAAAAGAGGAAACTGCTCCCTTCCCTGGAGGCGTCTTGGACGTGACTCTTGGTGCTTCTCTTATGAGGATTGCTGGTGATTATGTGTCAAGATCACCTGAACCGTGAGACTACTCGAGATGTATGTGTTATATCGTGCTTACAAAGGAGGGAAATGAGGAGGAGGAAGCAATAACCTTTGGGCCTGATCGCTAAGTTGACTTCTTGCGTTGAGACTTTCGTTAAGCTGAGAAGTTGAGGTTGTTGCGTTGGCTGGTAGGATAGGGTGATAACAATGATGACCTTGACTCATTCGAGGAATAATCGAGGTATGTGGGTTTGCCCGGGGCGTTCCAGCCCTTGCTGTTTTCAGCACGCCGCAAAGGATGGGGCAAACGACGTGAGTTGAGGTGCTTTGTAGTGGGGAGGGTTGTGTTTCATCCCGTACCTGTTGTACTGTTGGGATGTTGGGATCAGGCATCCGTACTTAAGCATTGTTGTGTGCGCTTGGACCTATTTTGACGTACGTCTTTGTTCTGCTGTTTGGGCTTGAACCTCCACGACAATAACCGTGCGATTCATGCTTGACCGCGTTTTTCTGAGCCGTCTTACCTCATTGATTATTTCCTGACATGTGCTTGCGAGCAGCCAGCTGCCATGTTACAGCAGCTGGGTTCAGGTGGAAGTACAGCGTGTTATTAAGGATGCGTATGGTCCTTATAAGCGTGTCTCTTGGGGTTTTCTTTGGGTTTTTGTTCCTCCAATACGCGTGCATTGACTCTTGAGTCTGACAAGGTTAAAAACATGACATGCTCTGGTTTTGACCGGAGGAATTTGCTTCACATGTCCGTGCATTGTGTCTTGCACCATGTGGCATCTGAAATGGAGCGTTTTGTCCAATGCAAACCATCTGAAACTGGACGCTGTTTGTCCCGGTAACCACGACGGTTTTGCGCCAAGGGTGGTCAGCCCAAATGTCCCCCATGTAATGTCTTGGATGCTTCGATAGTCTGCTTCTAAGGAGATGAACGCGTACAACTCAATGCTTGCTCAAAACTTACATGGGGCCAATGCATGACAACGAGATGGATGTACCTTCACAACGAGCTTGCGCATAGTGATGCGCATCCTCTGTATAAACCACTAGGAATTCTGCAATGTAAGGTCATCAACCTGGTACAGTTCAACAGGAAGACCGAGAATGAACGTTAACGAACACACTGTAATACGTACGCACGCCTATGAAGAAGGACTTAAGGTTAAGATTCGCATCCGATGCTTTACCTCCACTTATACAAAATTATTCTTGAAACAGTGACGCAAGGACGCAATGACCCATGGGTCACAGATACCCAATTGGGCATGCAGCACGATTTCCGGTAGCGCGTGCCCGTAATTTTGCGTGGGAGGGAAGACGTGCAGGAATATACCGGTAGGGCGCCTGTCCACAGGCGCATGACAGGTGATCAGGCCAGGGCAAAGCTTGCCACCATCCTCACATTTACGGTCTTGCACATTCATGTCCCCTACCAGTACGCACAAACTGAAGTTGTTTCTAGAACTCCAACAACTTAAAAGTAGACATGCGGGCAGTGTTAACGCGCGTACAACGACTAGTCGGGTCAACCGCCAACTGCTTCAACAGAAGACGGCTTCAACAACGGCTTCTTAACCACCTCACGCAACACGGCCGGATGCGGTCCAACTGTCCAACATACGGTATGAAGTCACAATCAGACCTTCATCCTATCGACAGCAGGCTCTCTGCGTGAACAAGGCCGCATTTCGCACAGCCGTGCATAAGAAACTCACGCTGTGCACAATTTGGAACGCGCACAATCCTCCTTGTGTAAGCAAATGCTTTTAGGGCTTCCTGGGACAGCTTCCTGGGACAGCATGCACCAGCGCTCGGTGCCTTTGCAGCATGCACCTGGCCCCAACCCAAGGTTCCCCACTTGCTACCACAACAGCATCTGAAAAACTCAACAGGCACACACAACAGGTCACATATGCAATTATATACAGGGTCAGATCCACGTTACTCAGTACAGTTGGGTCCAAGCAAGACTCACATACCCAGCTCGTGACTGCAGATAGCAACGGCTACGCAGCATGCAGGACCCAGGCCTTCCAAGCCAAGCCCAAAAGAACAGTGGTCTCAGTGGAGCAGCCGGCGACATGTCCGTACGAGTCGTACTCATTCTCTGAGCACCGCCGTTCCCACATAGTTCGTGGGCTGGTTCAGGTTGACAGCGTAGGGCGTGGCTCGGAAGACGGGTGGGGAGTAGGCCGACGCTAGGTTGGGAGCCACGTGCGCGTACTTTGCCACCCAGGCATAGTCGTCCATGGGAAGAACTGGCTGGCGAACCTGTGGCGACAGGGAGGGAGAGGGCGTGGTGTGAATGTTGTGAGCGTAGAGCAAAGGAGAGCGGTGAGCAATGGGCGTTCTTACAGTTGTCAGGTTAGCAGTACAATCAGTACCATCCCAACGCTTCTGCTTCCACGCTATGGCAAATGTCATGCCCCCACGACATGCTCCCCCCCAGCCTCTGAAGCACCCACAGCCCGCCCCACGGCCCGCTCACCCGCACAACGACGCACGATATCAGTGCCACCAGCAGCCCAATCACCAGCAGCCCGCCGGCAATGATGCCCACGATGGCGCCCACCGCCTCCCCGCCGCACAGGCTGCCCAGCCGGGGACTGTCGCAGAGCTGGCCCGGAGGCGGCGGCGGCAGGGACACGGGCACCACGCTGATGCTGGTGGTGGCGGTGGAGGGAGTGCCGTCGGAGCCCACCACGAAGACCTGTGGGTGGTGGGAAATTATATAATAAGTGCAAACAAGAAGGGAGGTGGATTCGAAGGAAGTGGGTTTGGAATAGAGACAGGGGACTGTCCGAGGGAAGCGGCGAGGTTCAAAACTGCGTGGAGGAGGACTACACAACGCAGCCTCAGTAGCCGGATTTGTCCAAAAGGGACGCCGGCGCCCAAGGGCAAGAGCGCCCCAGCCCTACCTGAGAGGAGGTCAGGCCAAGCGTGGAGCTCACGCTCTTGGCCATCACTTGGTCCGTCACGGCGATGGCGGTCTTGCCGACGTTGCGGATGGTGGTGAGCAGTGTGGAGGACACCGCGGTGTCGACGTTGGAGCTGGGGGAGGTGACCAGGTAGCCGGACACGGAGACCTGCGGCAGGGTGGTGTAATGGGTAGGGATGGTAGGTCAGCTGGGATGCATGGGAGTTAGCAGGGGAGGGGGCGCAGCGTAAAGGCTGACGTGGGAGGAGGTGTCTGTCCACGGAAAGAAGGGAGGCCGTGATGTGTCATTTTGGCGTATAGACATAACGGTGTGTAAGGTTTCATGAAGTAATGCTTTGTTGGGGACTGGTCCTAGACACACAGACAGAAACTTGCAAGCAGTCCTTGGCAACCCGCCGCTCCCCTACTACATCCCCCACTACCGACGCCACATACGGTCGGCATGGCTGTGTATCGCCGCACGGTAGCCCCTCCTGCCCACCTGGGTGCTCAGCAGCGTCAGCACGAAGGACGCTTGGGCGCTCTGGTCGCTGATTGCAAACACCGCAGTCAGACGGGAGCTGCAGTTGTTGCCGAAGCCGGTGGCGGAGGCGGGCAGTGCGGGGAAGGTGTAGATGTCGGCGTAGGGGTCGGCGCAGGCGACCTTGATGGTGCTGCGCGTGCAGGAGAGCAAAATGGGCAGGGGATTGGGATGAAGGTGTCAGTGTTAACGCGCAATGTGGTCTTGAAGGGAACGGCAATGAGTGGAGAGTGTGAAGAAGCCGGTACCGGTTACAAAACCCATGACGTGCGCCGCTGCTCTCCCAACTCCCCCCTACCTGCAGTCTGTTACGTCTAATTGTGAGCAGAGGTTTGTCAGCAGCGTTGCTGCCAGGGCGCTTGTGCAGGAGACGCAAGCCAAGGGCGCTGGCGGCATGGGAGGTGAGGGTGGCGGAGGCGGCGGTGGTGATGGTGGCAGGGGGCGCAGCGGAGGCGGTGACGACAGCGGAGGAGGGGGCGGCGGTGGTGGCGGAGGCGACGGCTTGGGAGGATCCGGCGGGAATGGGGAGGGGCTGGGTGCGGGTGGGGGCGTTGGAAGCGGGGAAGGAGCTGGTGATGGAGGCCGGGAGGGGGATGGTAGCGGCGGTGGTGTTGGGGGTCGTGGCGGAGGGTGGGGCGGTGAGGGTGAATTGGATGAGGGTGAATTAGGTGAGGGTGAAGGGGGTGTGGGCGGTAACGAAGCTTCGGGAGGCATTGGATTTGTGGATACTTCTGAAGGCGGCTGAGAAGCAGTGGGAAGTTCAGGAGGCGACGGAGGTGAGGGTGGGGAGGGACGTGGAGAGGGCGGCAAGGGTGGGGAGGGTCGAGGGGAAGGCGGCGAAGGAGGACTGGGTGGCATAGGCCTGGGAGATGGTGGAGATGGAGGGCGAGGTGGAGGTGAGGGCGAAGGTGGGGGAGAAGGTCGAGGAGACGGAGGAGAGGGAGGAGCGGGAGGAGAGGGCGGGAGCTCTTGCGCTTGGAGGCTGCGCTGTCTCCGGCTGCTGCTGCTAGTGCTGCTGCTGGTACTGCTACTGCCGTACTCCACCACCTGAAGCATGGTGTACACAGTCGCGACAAAGGTGGTTGCCACCTCTGTGCTCACTTCGTCCGTGCTGATTCCCAGCAGACCGGCGATGTTGGTGGACACGGCCTTGAGACGGGTGCTGGTGGGATAGCTGGCGATACCGCAGTAGCTGGAGAGCTGGTAACCGGCGGGGATCTCTGTTATCACAGCGGGAGGAGGAGGCGGACGGGGTGGGGGAGGTCTTGGTGGAGGCGGAGGTGGAGGAGGCGAGGGAGGTGCGGGGCTGGGTGGTATGGGCGGAGGGCCTGGTGAAGGTGGCAGGGGCGGTGGAGGGGGCGGTGGAGGTGAGGGTGGTGGCGGCGAGGGCGCAGGTGAGGGCGGGGAGGGGAAGGGGGATGGGGGCGGGCCTGGGGGTGGCGAGGGAGGCGGGGTGTTGGGTGGGCTAGGAGGCAGTGGGGATGGTGGGCTGGGGCTGGGAGGAAGTGGTGAGGGCGGTAGTGGCGATGGAGGTGACGGCGGCAGGGGAGAAGGAGGTGGTGAGGGTGATGGTGGAGGTGACGGCGGCAGAGGCGACGGCGGTAGGGGTGGTGAAGGCGGCAAGGGTGAAGGCGGAGGATTATGTGGCGGTAGCGGTGATGGAGGCAAAGGCGACGGTGGCAGAGGTGAGGGCGGGAGGGGTGAGGGTGGCGACGGCGATGGCGGGAGGGGAGAGGGAGGCAGAGGCGATGGCGGGAAAGGCGACGGTGGCAGAGGCGGATCGGGCGAGGGAGGTGGTGACGGCGGTAGGGGCGGCTCAGGCGACGGTGGCAGAGGTGAAGGCGGTGCCGGGGACGGCGGTGAAGGAGGCAGGGGTGGAGGTGAGGGAGGCAGGGGCGAAGGTGGGCTGGGGAAGATGGGTGGCGGAGTAGGTGCCGGCGAGGGTGGCCTCGGACTGCTAGGCGGAGTTGGTGAAGGGGGAGCAGGCGGCGACGGCGGCGGGAAGGGTGTTGGCGGCGGCGACGCCGCGCGTGGCGGCGAGGGTGCGGGCGATGGCGGCTTGGGCGGCGACGGTCGTGGCGGGCTCGGGGGTCGCGGCGGCGGGGCGGGAGGCGGTGGTGGCGCCGACCTTGGGTCGCACGAGAGGGTGGTTATGTCCGGCAGGCTGCAGGTGTCACCGGGGTACAAGTCCAGTATCACATTGGCAATGCCGCTGTCGTCCAAGTTGAACGACGGGCACTGCACACGTGTGACCCCGGAAGCGGGTTTGCTGCTGTCTGTGAAGAGGGCGACATCCCATGGGGCCCTGCGATGGGTAGGGAGGCAGTAAAGGTCGCCTTCTTTGTCGTGTCTCGGAGGATAGTGAACCGGTTATGCAGGGCCTCTGACTACCACCCTAAATAATCGATGCGTATAACACCGGAAGGCACGCATGTACCCGTTCCATGGCACCTGTATAACACACAGATGGCTGGAGCGACGACTTACAGTGTGGTGCCTCCTAGGCAGTCTTCACAGTTGATGCGGATGCTGCACGGCAGGCTAGTCCCGACGTACGTCGTTTTGCAGGATCCAAGCTTAATCAGGAACTCAAGATCGCTGTTGACCTGCACCCCTGGGCACGGCGAGCCGCCCGTGCTGGGGTACAAGTAGGTCACTCCCGCGACACCCCGTGACATCAGGATCAGGAGGCTCAGGAGCCAGCCCAAGAGGCCCAAGCTGCTGCTCAGACGCTCCGTGTTGCCTCGCCATGCCACGCCATGCACGCGTTTACAACGCTGCTGCCTCCCACCTGGCCCTCTTTCAGCAACAGCAGCAGCAGCTCCGCCATTGCTGCTATGTTGGTTCAGCCCCGGGCTGCAGACGGCCGTGCTTTCCGGCGGAGCAGCCGTGCCGGCGCTGGGAGCTACTGTGGGAGCGTTGGGGTATCGGCCGCCTGGCACCATAGCGTCGCTGGACCGGCTGCGGCCTGAGTTGCGGAGGTCGGAATGAGTTGCTGTCACGACGGGCTCCTGCGTGCAGCTTGCTGTATCTTGTTGGTTGGATGCGAGGCTTATTTCCGGTCTTGTCTGCGCTCTGGGCGCGGAAGATAGGTCAACTGGCCGACGCAGCATAAGGCCAGGCTGCAGCTGCTTAATGTGCTCCAGAGCGCCCCGGGCAAGGCTGCTTGCCGGAATAATATTGACTTGCGCTGAGGCCGCAGCTTGCTCCGGCTGCATGACTACGCCTTGGCAGCTGGAGTCGCCAGAGTAATCGTACGATGTCCCATGGGACGTCAGTAAGCAGCAAGGCGCGTTTGGGGGCCTGGAAGCCGTGTACTTGGACAATGACACGCCGGAAGCCTCTGTAAGAGCGCTACCTGCTTCTGGCGTCACCCGTAAAAGCTCTCCGTCGCGTAGGTCAACCTTCCGGATACCGCTGCTTAGGCGGTCGCTTAAGCCCATATAAAGCATGTCCAATTCTTCACCAGGGCATGGACGGCCTGCGAAAACAGTGCCCCCGAGTCGGGTACCGTCTATCAGCTCGTTGTAGCACGTGAGCCCATCGCGCAGGTCAAACATAGTTATAGATGTAATCCAACTATGGTATGCACTCCTATGCAAGGATGCAAAGCATCCGCAAGATACGCCTATCGGTGGGCGGCGTCATACTTTAGAGAAAGCTCAACACCTCACCAAGCAAGGCATTATAATAAGAAGTGAGATGCTATGTACAGCTTACTAAAGAGAAACATGCGTTTCAGGCACTTATGTGTAACAAATGCTATCCAATCGGCATTCTTCCCCAAGCTCAGTGTACAATAACATCCCATCACCGCAGAACAAACACCATAAGTAACCCGAGGTAGCCCATTTGTAGCTCACAAGTCGAACGCATAGTTTCGCGGAGCTAACCTCCCGCTCAATGCAAGCGTTGACCGGGCCACAAAAGAGCACCCCGTCTGCCATACCTGGCGGACAAGTCGTCTCCAGCCCGTTTAATGCGGAAAACGCCTTCACGGATGGCTTACAAGTTCTAGCTACTTTCTTTGACTTAGGTGACCTGTAAATGGTATCGCAGAGGCGAGAGCTCGTGCATTCCGTAATAATTCTGTTTGTTTACTCAGGTGCTAATAAAAATATGATATTCCTGATAATAAGCTTCACAGTTAGTTATCAGTACCGATTAAATTGAAGCACACAAACACAGAATGTCATGAAACGTTGAGTCAATCTTGCGGAGTCAAAGCTAGCTTAACGAATCGGCAGCAGCTTTGCGCGCAGTTCGCGTAAGCTGTTTTACACGATGTACGAATCGCCGTACCGCATGGGAGTTTTATGGCATGCAACCACTTAAGCAAGCGTACATGATACTGTTCGAATGTTGAGGTACGGCGGGGCATGGGAGATGGGCTTCAAAGCTGGCCGTCCGGAAGCAAACTTGCCAACATTGCATCCTGGCCATCCCAGGAAGAGGGGCTGCGCGATGCTCCGCCGCCAAAACCGCTATGACAGCAATGCTTGGGGAAGGCACATTCTGTAAGGAAAAGGGGTTGTTTATCAACCGATTCGCTTGCAAGGCTGCATACTGGTCCTGAGCCCTTTAATGCATGGTAGCGGTATAGGACGCCAACACCCATAACGCAGGACGGCATGAGGTGACAACAGAAAATCGCGCTCGGGGCAGCACACGCATTCCTGGAACGATTTGAGGCGAATTCAGTGTGAAGAGAGGACGCCTGCCCTCCGGAGTTGAACTTGCCCCTCAGCTGTTTGCACTGAACCCTGCATTTGCTTGTATTAAGAAAATTTGCTTTTCTGGTCCAATGCCGCTGTAAGCTGCAGCTGACGCTCCGCAAGTAAATGGTGCAACATGCACAACGACAGGGGATCGCTTGCACACTTACTAAGATCTGCCCTACCATGGAAAACAGCATACAGACCGCTGCATAAGTATTATCTTTCGAACTCCTTTTCCAAGATGCAAGCCTCCTTGTTGCATGGCAATCGCCTAGGGCTTCCAGGGCAATCCGGGTGCCAAGCAAGCGCTGTTAAGCATGTTCATGTAAACTGTGCATTTTATTTTAGGGCTTTTTCTGGGCCGCGACGTGTTGGGGAGCCTGCAGCTGTCCAATTATCGCGGCGGAGCCCAGTATTCCAACAAGCAGCGCGTAAGGTGGATATTCAGCTGCAGCAGAACCCATCAGATGCTTTACAAACTACCGCGCCCGGCGTTTCCTGCAACCCGGCTAAGACAGGCTCGGTTGCACGCACGGCATGCCTGGTTGTCGCTGCCATGTGCCTTGCGGGCGCGTTGCCTGGCGCCGCGAGCGCTGCTGCGGCCGCTGCTGGCAGCAACCCAGTCTCTGGCCTCCTGAGCTTCATCCTCCACCTGGACAAGCACCTTGCCGGCAAGTACCTCACAACCGCAACCGGCCCCCAAGCCCTCGCGCCTTCCCTTATCGAGCGTTCCCGGTACACCCCTGTCCCTCTCTCTGCCCGCCTGTCCACCTCCCTTTCCTTCCTCCACGCACCACCGCTTCTCCCTGCCTCCCCCTCCTCCTCCTCCTGCAACCCCCCTCCCAGCCCTCATCGCACAGCACGGCCCCACCTCCGTGTACGGGCTGCTGTTCGGTATCGTGTTCGCGGAGACGGGGCTGGTGCTGACGCCCTTCCTGCCGGGGGACTCGCTGCTCTTCGCGGCAGGGGCGTTTGCGGGTAGGATGCCTTGAGGGCGTGCATGGGCGGGTGTGGGCGGGTGGGATGGAGTTGTAAGGGGGGGCATTACGGGAGCGGGTATGATTCGGTGCGGGTGGGTGGGGTAGGTTGCTGTGGAGCGGCTGGGGGCAGCAGGGGGAGCTCCTTTGGAGCGGTTTAAGACTTTTGCGGTGGTTGTGGTGGTGGTTGTGGTGGTGGTTGTGGTGGTTGTGGTGGGGCTGTGGACGCCCGATGGACGGCGGGTGGTGTTTGCCAGCACCGGTTATGTCCTCTTGCAAGCCGGCAGTAGCGACGCAGCCCCTTGTGCCGCGTTAAATCCCATTCCTCGACTTGCCCTCCCTCATGCAATCCCTTCCTGTGGCCGTTACCTACAACGCTTTCTCCACCATACATACGTTACTCGTTTCCTGCTCTCTTCCCATGCACACACAATCCTACGCGCGGCCAGTTTTCAACTACACACGCGCGCGCGTTTTGGTGGGGACATCATTTTCCGCCCATTCAGTACGTTCCTACTCGCGGCCATTTTCCTTAACCCACCACCCACCACATGCGCGCTCGCGTGCTCGCAGGCATGGGCCAGCTGGACGTGGCGGTGCTGTGCGCCGTGTTCATCGTGGCGGCCATCCTGGGGGATGCACTCAACTATGCAGTGGGTGAGTGTGGATTAGGTGGTAAACCGAGGGTGGTGGGGGAACGTGGGGAGAACGGAAGGGGACCGAGCCGGGGCAAAGAGAGGCCCTGTGCGAAAGGCCGGGCGGGGGCGGTCCTCCTTGCCGCAGGTTCTACGAGCTACCTGTGCCGTATGCGGCGGTATGTCGTGTGTTGGTGGCGCTGAGGGGACCGAAGGAACTGAGATCCCGATGTGTCATATGCCCTCATGCGGCCTCAGGTGCCAAGATTGGGAAGGCGGCGGTGGACCGCGGAATCGTGAGTCAGGAGCACATCGCCAAGACAGAGAAGTTTTACGACAAGTGGGTAGTCGGGTAGCGGTAGTTCTGTCGCAAGTGTTGTACAGGAAGGATACCGGATAGTAAGACATGCTGGCCTGCTAGCGAAGTTTGATGCTCCGTAGCTCGGTTGTTGCCCAGCCTAATAGCCCAGCTGCGGGAAATCCCACATGGCGTCAAATTGGCCGAGCCTGCTGTCTTCTGGCTTCGTGCGATGCTTGATGTGGCTATGTCTGTTGGGCATTGCTAACATCCCGAGGGCACATTGGTGTCGGTATGCAGGTACGGCGGCAAAACTGTCGTACTGGCTCGCTTCGTACCCATTGTACGGACATTCGCTCCATTCGTCGCGGGCATCGGCAGTATGCCGTACGGCAAGTAAGTATTCTACGGCTTGGCGGCAAAGACAGCACGACACAGCAGAAATCCTTTACGCTACCGTACTGTTTAGTCACCGCTACGATGTGTGAGGTTGATTAATGCGCGTCGTAGTCTGTAGGGCTCTGACAGGCTATGCCTCCTACCATGTCGGAGCTTTTGGAGTGTAACGGCTTTGCATGTACGACAGTTACATACCGTTTTGCCGTGTGCCGTACAGGTTTGCCTGGTACAATGTGGCCGGAGCGCTGCTGTGGACCTTCCTGTTCGTGGGTGAGCGATGAAGGGGAGAAAGAATGGCCAAGGGTGGACGTTACTGGGACCTTTAGCGAGGGAAGGTGCTTACCATACCCACCTAGCGTCCATCCCCGAACTCCGATGCCCCCTCCACGTTATGACCCATCACATCTTACAACCCAATACCAATGCCGTATCATCCCTTCCCATCCCTCTGCCCCGACGTCCGCCCGGCGAACCCCCAGGCGCCGGTTTCTTCTTCGGTAACCTGCCCTTCGTGCGCCACAACTTCACGCTGGTGGTGCTGGGCATCGTGGCGGTGTCAGTGGTGCCGGTGGTGTACGAGATCTGGGCGGCACGCAGGGAGGCGGCGCAGGAGGCGGCGGAGAAGCAGCAGCGGAAGGCAGCGGGAGGCGAGGAGCCGGGTACCGGCAGCAGCAGTGGTGGGGACAAGCCTAAGTTTGCATGAGGGAAGGAGGGAGGCAGGCGTGAGGGTTGAAGAGATCGGGGCGCGGGGAATTTGGGGGTGAGGAGAAAATGGGGGTGTGGAGGGTCGGATCCCTCGGAAGAGAAGGTTGGCATGGCGGATCGGGATGGGGAGTCGCTGGATGCCTGGATGATAGCAGAGGAGGTCTAACTAGGTGGGACTTCGATTGTGACTGGGCGGTATTGGGCCACGCATGTAGACCGAGCGAGCTGTGTTGCCTCTCGCCTTGCCATGGCTGCCTGGGGACGTTGCTCAAGGAAGGGGCTAGTTCGGCAATGGGCTTGCATGATTGTGCCGTAATTCGTACCCCCGTGCTGTTTTAATTGGGTAGAAAGGTATTGTAAAGGCGGCACTAACACTGCACTAACTCAGCCCTGTTATCCCACAAAACTGGACATCCCAGCATCGTCAGGTTCTTGTCTCTTGCTTCTTTGTGGTCTCACTGTAAAAGATCCGGTACCGGTATCTCGTGCGGTGCTGCAGCTGGTGTTGCCTGGGGGTGGCGTACGAGTGTGCTTGGCAATCGCTTAATCGCTGTACAACGTAGGCCGGTCAAGGCGGTTGCAAATTGCTTGTGAGCGTTGTAAGCAGCATCTGGAACATGGTCATCGAGGTAGGTAACACAGTACACCGATACACGGCAGGCATAACTGCCCCCTAGTCCAGAACCACGGTTACCACGGTCGGGTACGGCATAGCATGACACACACCCGCATCTCACACCGTCAAGTAGAGATGAGCGGCGTGGCTGTCTTCGTCGCATTACAAAACGTACATTACTTCTCTGCAGGTGAGTCCCAAAAGTTTCCTTCCGCGCGCCCATACCCTGCTCATTGCTAACGAGACAAGAAGGAATGCGGGTCCACTCCTACTGTAGGGTGCACCACGTAGTAAACTGCAAACACACTAATACCGTACTCGCTACACTCCATAGACCTTCTACCTACGCCTCGCAATGGCAAGGGTTGCAGCTCCCGGGATTTTCTGACATCTGACGTCATGGCGCCGTGCCTCACCTCACCTCACCTTGCCAAGGCACAAGACGACAAACTACACGTACCGTATGTTTACAGGCAAAGGGTAAACGGCCCAAAGAAGGGCGCAAGCATAAGGCACCGGTAGATGAAAAATGGATCACAGCGGCCCGCGGGTTAAAACAGGGAAGCCAGCACCCCTGCAGGTTTCTTGGCCCCACTTAGCGCACATCATCGGTTGCACATGCACACAGAATCGTCTCTGGGTAACAAAAAAGAGGGCAAAGCAAGGGGCATACAAAGCAACCCCATAGGTTTCACGTGCACCCCATATGTGCACGTGAAGGTAATCCTTGCAACTAGTACTGCTCGTACGCACCCTTTCCAAGTAAGAGGCTCAACCGACACAACTCAGCAACGGCCCAGCAATCTGTGCTCTTCCGCAACCCTCAGCCACCTCAGGTGGCCCACCAGGGAACGCAGAGGGGAACCATGACCCTCCCGCTCGCAAGACCGCCATCACAACGCCAAAATCGCATTCACTGCCAACCCCCCACCACGCACATTTTGCGAGATATTACAAGCAGCTAGGAAAACCGGGTAGCGTAGGCAGCTGGCCACACTTGGCTGCCCGCTACACTCCTGACAGGCGTGGCAAACCCTGGAACGGTGCCTTCCACCGAATTCACCGAAAAGGGCATTTTGAATACCGTGGCGCTGCATTGCCGTAACGAGCCCCATTCCAACCAGAGCATCACAGTCGACATACCATTACCACATCCATCATCATCTGCACCACCTCTCCATGAACCCGACCCAACCCTCTACAGGAATATGCGCTTCTGGTGCCTTCCGCACCTCCCACTGCCTGCTGACCCCACGACACCTCCCTACACACTACGCACTCACAGGGGCTGACTCCTGCTCCCCTACCTCAGCCCCTCCTCCACCTCCATGTCCTCTCCCCTTCTCCCAACGCCCCCACACCTAGAGCGCCCGGATCGCCGCAATGGCCGCGTCCTTGAGCTGCTTGGAGTCCCTCCCTGCGCTCCCCGCCTGCTGCTGCCCCTGCCCCGCCTGCTGCGGTGTGAGGGGGGCCTGCTGCTGCTGCGGCTGCTCGCTTTCAGCTGCAGCCGCCGCCGCCTCAGCCGCAGTCGCTTGCTGCTGCTGGGCTGCTAGCGCGCTCAGCATGTGCTGCCAGCCGCTCTTGTGACGACCCTCCGCGGTACCTGCGAGCGACAAGGTACCCATGCGGATTGAGGATGAGGAGACCCGTGTGCGGATAGGTAAGTGACATTGTAAATGGTAACCCGGTGGGGCATGGAAGGTATGGGGATATAAACCCAGTGCAGCATGGAAGGTAAGGGAATATAAACCCGGTGGGGCATGGAAGGTATGTGGCTGCCCCCCTCCCTCCCCGCCTCACCCGTGTACACCCAGGGGCACCAGCTGCGGTGCTGGCACACAGGGTCCAGCTCCCGCGGCTGCCCCTCCAACCCCCCGCCCAGCAGCGGCTGCCGACCACCCGGCGACAGCAGCGGCTGCCCCTGCGCCCCGCTCCCTGCCAGCGGCGAGGACGGCGGCCAGGCCACGGGTGCGCTGCCGTACGACCCCAGGCGGGCCCGCTTGCTGGCGGTGCCGGGGGCAGCAGCAGCAGCGGCGGCAGCCTCATGGCCTGGCTGCGGCTGGGGCTGCTGGGATGTGGTGGAGGTGGAGTCGACGTCCATGGCGGAAGGAGCGTCCGGTACGGCTTGCACCGAGGCCTTGCGCTTGTGGCCCACGAAGCTGCCAAACAGCCGGGACAGCGGAGTGCCAGCCGTGGTGGTGGTGGTGGCAGTAGGCGTAGCAGCAGCGGCGGCGGATGCTGGGGGCGTGGGTTTGGCCTCCTGGGGTCGTCGTGACGCAGGCACAGGCGTCGTGGCCGTCGTGGCAGCAGCGGCGCCGGTTCCGAAACCAAAGCTCCAGCCCTGCGGTGGCGGCGGGGTCGCCGCTGGTGCTACAGCAGCAGCGCCAGTAGCGGTTTCGGAGCCTCCAAAGCTGCCCGCCTGCCCCCGCTGAGCTGCCTCCGCATCCATGGCCGCCACGCCAAACACCGGCTGCGGTGTGCTGGCGGCGCCGAAGCGGAAAGGCGCCGACGCCGCCGCGCTGCCAAACGGCCTTGCCGTACCGATGCCGTGCAGGCCGTACTGCCCGCCGGCGATAGTGACGCTGAGCGGGTCCGCCGCCGTCGCAGCGGCGGCGGAGGCGAAGTTGGGAGTGATGGCGGCAGTAGCGGCTGGAGCTGCCTTCGGGGAGAGCAACGGCGCGGCACCGGCGGGCGTGAGACGGCCCGATGGCACAGGCCGCACGCCGGCGAAGTTCCAAAGCCCCATACGGCCGTTGCAGTGCTGGCATTTGAGTACGACGGAGGACATGGGGTAGCGAGTGCAGCTGCCACTGCCACTACCGTTGGCAGTTGAAGCAGCGCCAGCACCAGCACCAGCAGCAACAGGGGAGGAACCGCTGGAGGGCTTCTTCGGTTTGACGCCTAGGTGAGCGAGGCTGTAGCCAGCAGACTGGGTGTACGGCGCTGCAGCCGAGCCGCTAGCAGACTCCGGCTGTAGCACCTCCAAGTCCCAGCCCAGCAAGGCAAGCAGCCGGGCCTTTTGCTGTGGAGTCAACTTGGACGGCTGTACGACAATGGTCGTTGACGCCGCCGCCGGGTCAGCAACACCCGCCGCCGCTGTCCCTTCTGTCGCCGCAGACGCGGCGGCTGCTGATGAGGACGGCCCAGCGCCTTCCTTGTCCTCATCCATGTCTGTGATCTGTACGACAGGGGGCTTGTGTCGTACAGGTGTCGTACCAGGTACGACAATGGCACCAGTGCCGTTGAGGCCCAGTACGAGCTCGTCGTACGGGCCGTACGGCGCAGCTGCATCGCGAATGGTCTGGATGGCAATCATGTCCAGATCAGGCAAGACGTCCACCTTTAGGAGCTTGTTTTGCAGCGACTGATAGAGCTGGCAGAGCTCATCGTTGTTGGAGGAGGGCACGTAGGCCAGCAGCGAGGGCTCGCACTGCGTCTTGCGCCAGGGGCAGTTGGCCGAGTGCTTGGAGATGAGGCCGGGAGAGAAGAGGTCTGGACGGGGTTGCGGTAAGCGCAAGCAGCGTGGCAGGGGCGCAGGGCAACGAGTGAGAGTGGTTCGGGAGGAAATTCATGTGGTGCGTGTGTGTGTGGTGCAGGAGGAAGGGGGAGGTGGCAAGGGTTGTGAGCTGAACGATGGCAGTCAGGGGTTGTGAGCTGAACGATGGTAGTAACTGTAGCGAAGCGGCCTAGCTGTTGGAATTGAAGCTTTCGGGCAAGATACCTACCTGCTGCAGCTTGGCGTTGGTCATAAGGAACTTGAGAGGGGTAGATAAGCTTGGCGTCACAATATTCGCAGCAAAGGGAATCGCAGCCATCGTTCTTCCAACCACGTAGCGCGCACGGCACCGCCCCCACAGACTCCGGCTTTGCAAACCATGTCAGCGGCTTGTAGGTTTCAAGGCGTCGATGGAGGTCGGACTGCTCCCAGGGGCGGAAGCGCTTAGCGCCATGGCTACCAGTGGCCTCGTTGTTGTCATGTGCACTGCTATCCCTTTCACGCCTTTTACCGAGGGCCGACAAGGCTGAAGTTATTCTCTCGTAGACAGATGCCATGCTTGGTCGACACTGTCCTGACGCTTCGCGACCGATCACAGGGAGCTTTTCTCGGACGGATGGAAGTCCGCTTTATATTTAACAATCAGCTCCTAATCTTGCCAACAGAAGCATAAGGGAAATGCTACCTGCTTGTAGTTTTTGAGCCGTCAGCGCAGAGGTAGTATGTTATGTTAGCGCAAGGAACGTGCTGCGCGTGTAGCTGTGTTTAAATGGTTAAGTTATATGTCAGAAGGTAACTGCAACAAAGGCTTGGCACTTGTGCTACTAGGGACCGAAAGGCGCGAATTGAATTTGGCACGGCACGCCGGCACAGATTTGGCACGGCACTCCATACCAAGCAACGCCATTCCCTGTTGGCACTCCTGATACATGTCTATACTTGTTTATACGTAGCAAGCATTTGTGCATTCTAGCGGAGCGCGCTTGAGATAAGGACCTATCTGCTGAAGAGCCTTGGCGCAGAGATCACCTGTACCTTGTGGCTTCTTACTAGATCAGACAGCATAATGACAATGGCAGGCTTATAACGGACACGACAGCCGACGGAGACCGTAATTCAACCTGACCATCCTTTCCTAGGCCCGAAGCAACAGTAGGATGCAACCAAGAAGGGAGGTTTGGGAATACGGTGGGCTTCCGCTTCAGGCCTTGTGTCCTCAGTTGGATGGCGTCCAGACGCTGCTATCCTTCCATGGAAAGCTACTCGCGCGCAGCAAGACTGGGCGCAATGGACAACGTAAGCCCACGTTTGTATCATTGCACATTAAATCTACCTACTGACAACCTATAAACACAAGTTAGTGGGCGTTTGGGTGCCCTCGGCTGTCATGCGACAGCCAGACTCCAAACCTTCTGTTTCCGCTCAAGCACGCACCAGCGGCATTTGGATACCCTTTCATTACATAACTTTTGACTTTCGGGCGTTTGCACATACATCTCCCGATCCCAACGCTGCGCCCCAATCTCATCCTCCGCGCTCACCCTTCACATACCTGAACACTCACTGCCCCCAAAGTACTCATCCCCAAACCATCCCTTTCTACCCACCACCCTCCCTACCTCCTTCCCGCCCACCCTACCTACTTCCATCCCACGCAGGCATCGTCACCGCAGCCGACATGGCTCAAGTCCTGGAGCTCACTTCCGCCCAAGTCGAAGTCCTAACAGAAATCCTCGCGGCCCTGTCGTACGCCAACTCCTCGCCTCCCACCTCCGCATCCCAACCAGCCTCCTCCTCTCCACCTCCTCCGCCTGCCGTGGGTCAAGAGGAGCTCTACCTACACGAGCTCTCACTCTTCCTCCTCGCGCAGCTCTTTTCCAAGGAAGCCCAGCGCGCTGACGCCGTGGAGTACTGGCCCGACCCCAGCAGCAGCAGTAGTGGCTTTGCGGCGGCGGCAGCGGCGGCGGCAGCGGTTGGGGGCGGTTTCGGAGCCTCGCAAGAGCTGCTGTCGCCCACTCGCCGGTCACAGCCCGGAGGTGGGTGTAGGGGGACAGGGGAAGGTCTGGTGGGGATGAGAAAGGGCGGTGAGGTGGGGGATGTTGGTGGGCGAGAAGCGAGCCGGCGGCGGGGTAAGGTTGGAGAGGAGGAGTTGTGCAGGGAAATAGGGGTTGTAGAGTGGGCATTCCCCTCCTCACCCTCCTCCTCCTCATCGTCATCACCCTCACCCCCCTCAACCCTTCCCTTCTGACCGCCTCCCCCCCTCCAGGCCGCGGTCTGCTCCGGCAGCAACTCCAGGGGCACCTGCGCGCGCAGATCATGGCCATGCGGGGTTTCGGAGACTACCTCCGCCGCAACCTGCGCCCCGCCCTGGAGCTGGTGCTGGAGTCCTGGCCGCCCGCTGCGGGGGCGCTGCTCAGCAGCAGGGAGCTGGACCGGCTGGGGTTCGTGCTGGGGAGCGCAGCGGGCGGGGCGGGGCGGGGGGGAGAGCAGGGTGAGGGGGGGGGGTGGGGGAGGCGGGGGATGATCAAAGATATACCAAAACCACAGGGCAAAAGCAGTTTTTCTTTACGAAATAATGGGAGTAAAGAGGAAACAGTTAACTGACCGTGTGATAAGGAGGGAGGAAGGGAGAGGGATTGGGAGTTAGTGCTCCATGCTGGTTTTCGTCCGTGGTGGTGGAACACAGGAGATGCGGGTATCCTGCGGTGTCGAAGGGCGGGCAGAAACCCCAACCGCCTGTGTACGTCCCCCGTGCATCCAAAACTCTCCCGCACCCGTCCCTCATCCCCTTCCCCGCACTCGCCCTTTTCCACCTCACTCCCCACCTGTGGTCCTCCATCCCCCCACCTGCAATCAACAGATCCCCTCCACGTGGTTGTGGGCATGACCCACGGGTCACCCGACGGCCGCTACCGGCCCCTCCCCCTGGATGAGGCCGAGAAGGCGCTCCGCTCGCTCTGGCAGGAGGATGCCTCCGCCTCCTCCTGCGGCGGGGGCGGCCTGGACTCCCCTCGCATGCTGGCGCTGTCGGGTCCCAACCCTGGTAGGTACTGCGGGGGAAGTAAATGATAGGTGCAGCAACTCTAGGTTCTGGGGGAGGTGAAGCCATGAGTACGATGTGAGAAACGACGGTAGGCGCCCCGGGGGCCTGAGGTTTCCTTAACCAGTTAGCAGTTGATACCGGTGCTGCTGCTGCTGCTCGCGTTACCCGGTAATCCCCCCCCCTTGGCCCCAACCTGTGGTTTCCTATGGTTTGGTATGGTCTCTGACCCCCGCAAACCCCCCCCCCCCTCCCACACCCCCCTAAGCAGGTTCCTCGCTGCTGTCCGCCTCCACCAGCAGCCCCTCACCCAAGTTCCAGCGGGCCATGGGCATGGTGGCGCCCGCGGGGCAGGTGGGGGGGTGGGAGGTGGGGGGCGTTTGGAGTGGGGGGTGAACAGGGGTGGAGGGGGGTCTCTCCCTCCCCCTCCTCATGTGAATAGTGCCTCCGTATGCGCTCACTGCATGAGTCGAGATTTGGGATTGGGACGCCGTTGCTTCATTCTTTATTTCTTCCCCCTCCACCATGCATGCGCACCCTCCCCCCCAGGTTGACGAGGCTGCCATCGCGGGTGTGTACCGGGGTACGGTGGTGCGCGGCGAGGGGGACCTGCCGCAGGGGGAGGTGCGGGTGACGGACTGCCATGAGGCCGTCATATACGTGCTGGCGCCGCTGCAGGTGGGGAGGGCGGGGAAGGGGGATTAATAAGGGTACATAATCCGCATGGGGAGCGCGCAGTGGGTGGCCGGGTAGTAGGGGGTTGCGGCGGGTGAGGGGTGGAGGGTAGGGGGTAGCAGCGGAGGGCGGAGAAGTGCGTTCCGAGGTTGGCGTTTGGTGGTCGGGTTTCGAGGGGAAAGGTAAGAAGCAAGCTCCCAAGGACGTGGCAGGACTGGAGTGTAAGGGCGGTATGAGTGGCTGGGAAGGCACTGCGCGGTAAAAGGGACGTGTATATGGACCAGTTGAGCCCCATAACCATTACGCCGCTTCCCCTGCCCCCCTCCACCGCTTTCCCTGCCTCCCCGCTCCCTGCCTCCCCCTCCCCTTCGCTTCACTCTTCGTTTGCCTCCCCCCCCTCCGCTTCCCCCCCCAGGCTGCGTTCATCAGCGGCTGCAGCGACTGCACCATCGTGGTGGGGGCGGTGGGGCGGCTGCTGCGGGTGGAGCGCTGCGACAAGATACAGGTAGGGGGGGAGTTAGGGGGGGAGGGTAGATGGGGGGGTTGCAGTGGTGTGTGTTACAAAAGTTGACTGCGTTTCGGAACGTACTGTGATTGCGGGGTCTGGGTCTGGATAGGCGCGGGGGGACAGGAAGGCGGAAAGGCGTGTTGCCAGTCAGTTGCCACCTCCGCAACCCCACTTGGTCGTATTCCCCTTCCTAGCTACCCTGCCCTACCCCCCCTGACCCCCCCCCCAGGTCATCGCCGCCACCAGCCGGCTGCTTGTGTCCGCCTGCCACGAGTGCTCCTTCAACATCGGCACCCCCCGCCCGCCCTGCCTCATCGGGGACAACCGCTTCCTCAGGCTGGGGCCGCTCAACACAAGGTGGGTGTGGGGGGGGCGAGGTGCTGCGTTTAAAGAAAAGTGATCGCGGGTAGGAACGTACTGATTGAACGTGCTATGTGTGTGGGGGGGGGCGAGGTGCTGTGCATGCCTCTCTCTTTCTCTCCCTGCGCACGTTTTGGCTGCGTGTACTACGGGCTGAATGCGCCGTGTTTTCCCTGTCCTGCACCTGCTCACTGTACGACTGGCGGTACGGCAACCCGCAGGTACGAGCGGCAGGTGGCTCACGCTCGCGAGGTGGGGCTGCGGACCGACCTGCCCAACCGCTTCGACTCGCCGGTGGTGCTGACGGGTGCGGTGTGGGGGGGGGGAGGGGGAGGGAGAGGCTGGCAAGCTGTTGGGGGGCGTGGTGGGGGTGAGGGAGGGGGTGACGGTGTATGGGTGAGCGGTCAGGGTAGGGTGGTAGGGTGGTGTGTAGCTCTACATGCTGTTGTCCTGCCTCTACCATCCTACGGCCCTACCATCCGCGCTACGTATCCCACACGTACTCCCTCGTATGCGCTCCCCGCTTAGTGCACTCTCACGCAATAGATGTCCACCTCCCTCCCTCTCCAACCACACCTCCCCTGACCTTCCCGCTCCCAGGCAAGGACCGCAAGAGCCTGGCCGGCTCCTCGCCCGGCAGCCCCCGCCACTCCGCAGCAGCAGCCGCCTCCGCTGCCGCCGCCTCCGCCGCCGCCGCCAAGGCCAGCTTCAGTCTGCAGGCGCCAGATGATTTCCTGCCCTTTGTGGTGCCGTTCGTGGGGGGAGCGGGGCCGCTGGCAGGTGCGTGGGTGGGTGGATGGAGACTAGCGGGTGTGATGTGGGTAGCTGGTTGGATACTGATGGTTGGGTGTATACACGGTACTGGGCGTGAGGACGGTGAGAGGGCGCGCGCAATTTCGAGCGAGCCGTCTGTACCCCTTTTGGTATCTCCTCTTGTTGGCTCCCCCCCACATGACATCTCTCACATGCACCAACCCCGCTCTTCCCTACTCCCGTGCCCCCCCCAGGCGGCTCCGCCCCGCCCCTAGCCAGCCGCTGGAACCACCTGGCCGCCTCCGCGCAGCGCGGCCCCGCCCCGCTGTACCTCTTCCCGCTGCCGCCCGACTACGAGCGGGCACTGCAGCGGCGACTCAACCTCACGCACGACATGCGCAGCAAGTTCAAACAGGTGGGCGCATGACCCGCATGAGCGCGGGGGAGGGAAGGGAAAGGAAAGGATGGGGAAGCGACGCGAAGGTAGAAGATCGAAGGATTAGTGGCGAGAAAGGAAGTGGAAAGCGTCTTGGTCGGGTGGGCTGGAAGCTCGGCCCTCTCATAGAGGTTTCACCACACGTCCTTGTAACCACTATGCCTCCAACCCGTCCCTCCCTCCCCCTCCCCGTCCTCCTCCTCCCCCTGCAGGCGGGTCTCACCAAGGACAAGGAGCGGGAGCTCAACGACGCCATCCAGGGATACTTCAAGGAGTGGCTGGTGGGATCCAACCTGCTGCGACAAATATACGACCTGTCAACACTGGAGAAGGAGGAGCTGGCGGCGGCGGCTGCAGCGGCAGGGGGGCCGGGCGGGGCGGCGCCGGGGGGAGGGCTGTCGCCGTTACCCATGCAGCAACCACCGCCGCAGCAGCAGCAGCAGTCGGGGTTGGCTGCGGACACGAGAGGGGCGGTGTAGCGCGGGGGGGAGGAGGGCTGTGGTTCACAGGTAGAGCTGGTTGGTTGGCGTGGCATGGCGGTAGAGAAGATGTTGCCTGGGTTTCGTACATGTAGGTGGTTGGGTGGTGGGTTGCTGGGTATTGAAGCTGATGGATGGGGGGCGAAGGTGTTGTATTCTTCCTGCCTTGCGTCAGAGTTCCAATAGGTAGTCCGTAGATAGGGGAGAGGGAGACGGGAGGGTGGGAAGGAAGGAAGGCAGGTAGCTCTTTGCATGGGCGCTACCGCGGGCGGGGTTGTGGTGTCCATGGAGTGCATGGAGGGGGGGTGCTGCGGGGTGCCACCTGGGTTGGATGGTGGGCGTTGCTTGCGTGTGTGATAAGAAAACTGGCCGCGAGTAGGAACGTACTGGCGGCGTGTGTGTGAGTGTCTGTTACGGTACCTGCGTGCGCACACATGCGTCGGCTTTGATGCCAATCAGGCAGGCAGGCCTGTTGCAGGTAGGCATGAGCGGAAGGCTGCACAAGGGGACAACGAGCAGGAAGTGTTAGTAAGTGCCTCGCAGCCTGTTTCAGCGAGTAGTGGCGCCACTGCGGCATTCGGTGTTTAAGGTTAGCGTGTTGTTGTGTTGTGGGCTGTGCTCTGCTTCGATGCATTTGTCCGGTTGCCTACTTGCTTCAGATGGACGGGGGAATTCAGGTGTACTTTCCCAATAACCGTTAAGAGGTCGAAATCGTTAACAAATGACTGTGCTGCTGCTTCAATGTGCAGTTAGTTTGGGCAATTGCGCTCTTGTGTCCGGCTCAGGATGTTCGAAGTAGACAAGAGGTAAACGAGGTAAACGTTCAGGCTACAGTTCTTGGACAAAAGCGGGGATCACTGCCAGCTCCGGCGCTGTAATCCACTCTGGCATAGTGACTGAAGCGCTTTTGATTCTCCGAGCACCGTTCAAGAGCGAAGGTGTACGGCTTGAACGCGGGAGTACGGCACGAAACTCCAACACGGCATTCCAAACCACTGTAGCCCTAATGCACTCTGACACCCCTGTAATAATCGCGTACTGATGCACCCCGATATCGTCCACCAAGCAGCCCAAAGTGACTTGGCGTCCAAAGAACCACATCCCTAGGCCGTTGACGCGTCCGCCACCTGCCGAAGTTGCCATACCCAACGTAGCCATGGCACGGCGACCCACCTCTCACGCGCGGACAACTAAACGGCAACGGGAGATCCGCTGACTTGACCGAGGACCCTAGCCACATTGCCAGCCTAAAATCCCAACTCGTACAGCAAACAACTTGCTTCAGTAGGTTCATCCGCGACAGAAGTTATGAGGTTGTCCTCCAGACCTGACCACACGTCTATAACCAACCCCGCCATCAAGGGCTTACTCCCATGAGGCCCCACCCTTCTAGCAAAGTGGCCCCTCCCATGGCAGTCGTGCATGCAGTCCTGCAAGGCGACAGATAACACGCATGGGCCGCAACCTATATAACAATGCTGCCAGCTATGGAGGGTGCTAGCGCCACCCGACACGCAGGGCCTGCGATGCTACGAACCTATCCGCATGACCCACCATTGTCCGCACACTGTAAGCCTAAACACGCAATCTAGCGAGCTAAAAGCTGCTGCACGAACTCAGGTGCGTTGACGTTCGTGTGGACTCGCGCACGATGCCTGTAAGAACTAGAGATAGCAAGAAGGGCTACTCGGGCACTTTGCCCAGTTTAACAACACGGACCTGCCCAGTTCCTGGATTCTTAAATACGCCGCTTACATGCGCCCATACCAAGCTCATCTTTGTCATCTTGCGCACCTGGGCGCATGCAACAACAGCCAGTCTCTTACCCAATCCGAACCGGCCTGCATGCCCCTTTATGCCCAGCCCGCCAATGCGCCACCTGGCACTCCCTGCTGCAGTACTCCACCTGCCCGCACCGCCCACACGCCTTCAACGGCAGCAGCGCCTCGCTGTCCCCCGCCAGATTGGTGCAGCCGGGGTGGCCGCAGCCCCGCAGCAGACCGCGCACCTCCTGCAACGGCCGCAGGGCGCCTCCCAGCCTCCTGGCCTTCGACCCAATCCTGGCGGCCATCCCCAAGCAGAAGTCACCCAGATCGCAATCAGATGCATCCCAGTAATTCGGAAGCGTCGTCAGGAAGTGCGCGCTATCCGCCGCTGGGCAGTACTCCTCCTGCTCCTGCAAGGTACGATGCATGGCGGACAGCATCTCTATGCGCCAGGGCCCGACTTTGGCCGCATCCGTTGTGGCCTGCCTTAGCTCCTGCGGACACGCAGCAGCAACCGCGCCGCAACCCAGCGGCAGGTGCTGGACGAGCCAATCCTTCTCCGAGCTGTCCTGCAGCAGCCCCGTCGCTTCCAACGCGCAACCCAGCACGTGGAAGGCCTCCATGTCCCCCAGCAACACCCGCCGCCAGCCGCCGTCAGGAGCGGCAGGGGCGGTGATGGCTGCGTCCTTGTTGCCCCTGTGAGCAGCCGAGGCGGCGGCACCAGTGACGGTAGCACCGTCTTCAGCAGTCGCTGCTGCTGCAGCCACGTCAGCGCCTCCACTGTCCCCCATGGTCCCCTTGGGGCTGCTGCCCTCGTTGGGAATGGCAGCAGAAGAAGCGGCAACGGCGCTGTTCCCGGCCTGCCTGGCACTGCTGACGGGTGGCGCAGGTGGGGCAATGCCTGTGCCAGCCTCTACGGCCCCCCCGCCGCCGCTGCTGGCGGCTGGCGGAAGGGCAGTGCTGGTGGCTGCCCTGCCAACGCCGTGTCCAGCCGTGCTGGCTGCATCCAGCATGCAGCGGAAGGCAAGCGGCGGTACGAGCTGCAGCAACACCGCGTGCGTCCTCCACAACGCATGTGTACCACGGCGGCCGGCATTGTCTACCACGCTCAGCGAGGCCCACTTTGCGATGCGGGACATCACAGGCAGCCAGTCCCACAGCGCGCACGACAACACCAGCTTCAGCTGCCGTTCTGGTGCCGACTCGGTGCCACCTGCTGCGCTCTCGTGCGGCCCCGCACCCAGCACCTCGTATGCCACATCCAGTGCCATCACGATAACGTCGAACACGTGGCAGCACAGCCTGCAGTCCCTCCTGCCAAGCACCAATGACATGACCCATGGGTGGGTCTTGCGGAGCAGCTTCCCCAGCGTCCTCACCATAGCCGCCGCCTGGCGCAGGTCGCCGTACGCCATTAGCAAGACCAGGTTACGGGGGAAGCACATAGCTCCGTTACCGGCTAGAAGCAGTTTATTCACCGTGTTCTCCGTCTCGTCGGCGTCAGCGTGACGCAAAAGCCCTTCCAGGCAGGGCAGCAGGCCAGCCGCCAGGGCCAGGGCCACTTGTAGCGGTGGCGTAGGCGGAAGGCCTGAGGCGGTCAAATGTGCGAAAAGTGAGTGTTAAGGTTGGGGCCAAGACGTAGGGGCGGGCAGGAGGCGTCAAGGAAGCACCTTGTGGCTGTACTTGATGGCTGGTAACCCTCACGTGCATGTCATACCACATGTCAAGCAGTTAACACCGCCGCACTGCTTACAGCTCTTCTCTCCAGGCGGGGCGTCAGTAGCAAGCACGCGCATGAGCACTGTTGCGATGAGTCGCTGGTCTTCCGGGCTGCCCTCGCGCTCCACAACCGGCAAGAAGCCAACCGCCAGCCGCCACCACTCCGTTGCCTCCGCATTGTCCGGCTGCTCCCACGCAATCAGCCCCCAAGCGCGCAATAACCCCTGCAAGGAAATCGTCAGCATCCTGTGCCGCGACATGATGCCGCCTCCTTCTGCTTCCTGGCCTCTGTTACGGCGGCCACCGCTGCCACCAGCATCGCCTGCGCAGCCGCGTCTGTTCATACTAGCCCCACACGTGCCGCCCCCGCTGCTGCTGCTGCTGCTACTGGTGTTGCCGTCGCCACCATTGCCCCAACCGCCAGACGTCTCCAGGATAAATGGCGCAGCCAAGCGTGCGATCCGTAGGAGCAGTCCTAGGACAGCCTGCTCACTCCAAGAGAACATCGGCACATCATACCGAAAAGCGCATATTAGCGCGTCGAAGCACGCGGCTGGGTCGCACAGACCGCAGCCGCTATCGCTGGGTCCTGCGCCGCCCACGGGGATATGACGCAGCAGGTCCGGGGCCAAGCCGTACGTAGGCCCGCCGTCCATTTTGCAGAGCGCGACCAAGCCGTGTACGACAATGGCGTGCTGGACGCAGCAGCTTGACAACACTGCCGAGCGAAGTTGTCTCACCCAGCAGCCATCGTGGACACTCGGGGCGTTCTCTGCCTCTTCTTCTTCTTCATTCTCCTCCTCCTCTTCCGCTGCGCTCGCCGCTACTGAGATAATGGTGCAGCACGTAGTTAAGAAGCTTGTCGACAGCCTGCACCGACTTCGATGTTGCGCACGATCCTCCTGCTCCGGAGCCGTCGCCGCCATAGCCAGCAATAACCGGGCCCAGTGGTCCAACACACAGCTGTCCTGAAGTGCGAATGTGATTTCCTCGCAGAGCTCGACGGATTCCAAGTAAAAGCTGGGGTCCAGGCCGTATAGTACCGTCGAGGCCAGCCAAGCGACGTGGTTGGCGAAGTCTCTTGCGTGCATTACAGATCCGCCGTGGTCCTCCTCCGGGTGCTGCGGTTGGCCTCCGGAGCTGGCAAGCAAGGATTGTGACGCAGCGGCCAGCTGACGACTGCAAGCTTGAAGGGTTTGCATTCGCAGCAGCTTGCGTGCAATATCCACGGCAGCAGCTGGCTTGCGGTATATGATTTGGTTAATAAAATCCATCGCGGCAACCGAGGTTTCTGAGCATGCGCGCTGATAGTTAGCAGTGCTGGATCCGGGCAACCCGCCGTTGGGCGTCAAGCGAACTCCAACTGCGATCAGGCGCAGCAGAGCTACATGGATGCCGTTATTAGCCACCACCTCTGCAACGACGGTCTCCGCAACGGCTGGAACGTCCAGGCACGCCTGAAGGTTCAAAAGCGTCTTACAAATGGATTTCTGCAGGTCTAATGGATCCTGTGCTAGTCCCCGAGCATCGCCACCCTGCTGGGAAGCTGCCTGAAAATAGGCATCCAGCAGCTGGTTTATCTCTATAGATAAGCGACGCAGCCCGTCTCTAGATAGCACAGGCAGAGAGTTAGCATCACTGCTGCGCCAGTCCGGGACTTGCGCCCTGTGCCTCCGTGCCATATTTATGCCACCTATCAAGGCTTAGTCGTAAGTCTTACAGAAGCTCAGATATACAACGGACTAACGCTCTTCGGATGAACGCGTGCACTAAGAAAAGGCCGTGCACGAGGCTTGTTAACAAACTAACCACGATTCAGAACGTTTCCGTTTGTGTGTGATTTAAACATCGGCGTGAAAGGGTGCGTACGTTCAACTGCATTTGCTTATAAACCCAAACGTCCGGGCGCTCCGAATCCTTGCGCGGGAAGCCGGGAACGTCAACTTAACTCTATTGTTGCATAAGATGACCTAGATGGGAAAGAAAGTTCTGAGCTGCGTGCTCGGGTGTAGCGACCGTGGGCGATAGGCGTAACTTAGCATGTAATGTACGGTACCGGTAATACTTTTTGCCAAGCGGGCAGTAGGGGTGTTTCTATGGGCGCGGTCCGAAACCAAACCTAGGCCAACCTAAGCCAACCTAAGTCGTACGCTACGCGCTCCTAAGTGTTCCTAAGTGACCTGTTTCTATGGACTTCAGGAACCACGGTGAAACCAGCCTTATGTTAACACCATAATCAGTTATCCTTACAGAATAGGGTAATCAGTGTTTATTAAGCCAACACGTTTGGAAGAAAAGGGGCGCTCGCGAGAAGATGATGCAGCGGTGGATTTCCGTTTGCGGCCCTGATGGTTAGGAGAGGGTATAATTTACATTACCTCGGGCAACAGAACAACCCATAGCACGTGAACGGGGACAACAGGACATGTTGCGTGACAGCCATGTGGGGATGCATGTAGGAACTAGGAAGCACATGGACGGGAAAGCCTAGGTTCTGCCATAAGATACCTTCGCAGAGAATGGATTACCCCTGCAAGGGCCTGGTTTGCCAGTGGACAAAGCTGCTGCTGTCAGGGGCCCGTGGGACCTTACAATTTAAGGAAGCGCAAGGCACATACCGCTTGTGAGGACCACGCTAGGGGTGTGGTGGAAGATAACCATAGGTTAGATGACCCTCGATCGACCGGCTCTGTTAGTGGAGCTGGCTAATTGGAGACTCCTCTCCGTGAGATAAGGCACCCGTAACAAGACACGCAAATGTGCCATACATGTGGCAACTGACGGGAGGTACGGTGCCGACTATACAACCTTGCCACCTTGCTTAGTATCCCTGACTGTTTGTCTGTATGCGAAGGTCTGCAGGCTCAGTGAGTAGGGCCCGCTGGCTCCACTCGCTCCACTCGCTCCAGCCTAAGCCGGTGCTAAGTTGCTGCTAAGTTGCTAAGTGGGGTGACCCCGCTTAGCAACTTAGCAGCAACTTAGCTAAGTATTGGTGGGACGAGCATGGGACGAGATTCCCTTAGAATGCGAAAGTTACAAGGGGGACCGGAGTTCCTGAAAGCCTGAGAGCCGTACAAGAGACCCAATCCCCTTAGGTTGGCTTAGGATCGGTCCGAAACCAAACCTAAGCCCATAGAAACACCCCTAGTGGCTTGTCGATGCCGTATTGGAAATCTTATGAGTTAATTGAGGGCCTAATTGTATTCAACATACAGGTATCTACCCATGCCATCCTGTTGACGAGCCTCAGACGCGACCCTTTTCTGCACGGCTCACCGTGAGGCGTGAGCGACCGGGGAGCCCCAAGGTCATTCAAAGCAGCCCTATTTATAATGAACGCGAGGTCCTGCCAGACCCTGCCCGCACGCCCCCATGCCTACTAACTCAGGGCATATTAAGCGGCTAAGGCCAACTGCTGCATACCCAGAAGCAAAAAGCCGAGGCGGCAGCTGCAGTGCCAGGCTGCTCGCTCTGCATGTAAAATATTCCCGACGTCGCCAGGGTCGCCCGCGTCAGCACACACAGATTGATTTGTTCCGTTTCTTTTGCAATGTAGGGTTGGGTTCATCACCCGTGTTCCCTTTTAGGGCACCATTGTAACGGTCATTCATTCATAGATGGCGTTTCTGGTCGCTTGACGGCCTCCGCAGCAGGTCCGCAGTCCCATTTTATACCGCAATTCACTCGCATTCCCTGGATGCTTAAGAATTGCTTCATGTCGCTGTTTGCCTGCTTCCTGCTTCGGCCCGCAACCTACCTACCGGTAACGGTACACTCCTCTGCACTCCACGTTTCGCCGCTACGTTCTTTCCAGTATCCTGACATGCCACTCGCCATCGCGCTACACACGTTCAAACCCAAGCCCACCATGCCACCATGCAACACCCTCCTATACGCATGCTTTTCAACGTATCTAATGGCCTATAATACTGTTGCAATGAATCCATCACCTCAACATCACCACCATGCATGTCAGACCGCATGGAGTCGTACATCGTGGAATCAATGTAACGGTTATTCACTCATGTACGGCATCAGCGGATCGAATTCTATTCCCGTACACTCCGCCTCGGCCTGCGCCGCACGCACTACCGCCCGCCTTCTTGCTCCCCTTCCGCGGCCCTCCCACGCTCCCGCAGCCCCATAACCCCCGCCACCCTCGCCGTCTCCCTCTTCTCGGTAAACCCGCCGCCGTACGAGCTCCCACATATCCCGTAACATGCCGTACTTTTGCTCGTAAATGAGTTGCCGTACACTCTCTTCTTCATGTTGTACCATGATTGAAGGCGAGCTGTTGAACTCAAGCAACCAGGGATGATCCGTACGGTCAAGCAGAAAGTCAACACCCATCATCTGAAAGCCGTACTCTTGTACGGCCGGTCTAAGCCAGGCATTCGCCTCTTCTAGAGACGCGCTTGCTGCCTGCAGGGCTCGAGCGCAGGACTTGCAGAGGGCGGTCCATAAGGCCTCAAATCGCTGGGTTCCCATGTGGTTCCGGAGCTGCTCCAGACTCCAGACTTGGGAGTTGGTGTTACGGGCATAGTTGGTGATGTGGCTCGCTGGGAGCTGGCAGGGAGCGCTGCCAGCAACAGTGGGCGGGTGAGGAGGTGGGGTCGCAGGCTCAGGTGGATGGTTCGCTTGACGGACGAGAGATGTAGGCGGCGGTTGTGATGTGGAGGCTGAAGGAGGAGGCGGAGAGGAGGGTGCGGCCGCAGCCGCAGTAGCAGCGGATGGGTCGTAGGGCTCCGAGCTGAAGAGCACCAGACCCCGCCTGGCGGACGGAACATGGTGTGGGAGCGGGGGCAGGGAGGACAAGAGGAGGCGAGGGAGGGGTTAGGAAAGACAGCGCAAGGCCAAGAAGAGTACGGCAGCACCCTGGCATCACCATTCATCACCCACGTAGCAACCTGAGGAAGGCCGCCACAGCACCGCTGCGCCCACCCCCTGCACCGTGCACACACGCACAGCGTAGGTCCACACCCACCTGCCGTTTGTTTGATACTTGCCACACACGTGCAGCACGCGTGTGTCCGCATTACCGCTCCCGGCACCCCCGGGCCACCCGGCCGGGGGGTGTCAGATGTCGCTCTCTAGTCGCCACACACCTCCGTACGGTAGGGAATACTAACCAACACTTTGTCTTGTGGCACCCTGCCGCCTCCTACCCCCATTGCTTTGCCCTAACCTGTGGTCTCCTATGGTTTGGTACCTGACCTTTGACCCCCCCACACACCGCCCACCTGTGCAGGTACGCCCTCAGCGGGCGGTGCGAGGTCACCAGCACCCACAGCCGCAGATGGAACTTGCGGCCCCCCAGCAGCAGCGGCCGGGACAGGTAGCGCTGGGCCACCTGCAGCGGGAAGGAGCGGCCCCGCTGAGGTGGCTGCTGAGGCTGCTGGTGCGGGTGCGGGGGCTGCTGAGGGGCTTCACTGCTGGTGCTGGTGCTGCTGTTGGGGCTCCCAAGAGGGGTGCCGGGGGAGCCAGCAAAGTGCTGAAGAGCGTACTGGAGCGCCTGGCGCGCTGGCAGCAGGGTGAGGCCCTTACCTGCGAGTTGGAGGGAGGGGGGAAAGAAAGGAAGAGGGAGGCGGCCGTGTAGGGAATGGAATGAACGGTAGTATCCTAGGGGCAGACGGGGATTGAATGGAGCTGGGAGCCGGAGGCCTGGGCGCACCGGGGTAAGGATGGCGCCCCAAGGAAGGCATGGTTACCAGCGCAGCAGCCACCGGGGCGTGCATGCCCCGGTGGCTGTTCCCCTGAATGCCCCTGTGCCGCCCCTGCCAACAGTGACAGCCCTCCTCCTTCGCCTCACCTGCATCCTGGCCCGTCTTCAGAATCCACAGCTCCTCCTCCTCCTCCTCCTCTACTGCCTCCCATCGCTCCTCCTCCTCCTCCTCCTCCTCCACCTTCTGCCCCCGCCCACCCGCCCCGCTCCTCCTGCCCCCGCTCCTGCTGCCGCCCCTGCCCCGCACCCACTCCTCCCATGCACCCAGCTCCTCCGGCAGCGCAAAGGTGCGCGGCGTGATGCGGAAGGCGGCTGCCTCCCCCAGCGCCCCCCGCAGCGTGAGCAGCAGGCGCTTCTTCATGGTGAGGCTGTTGAGGCCGATGATGGCACTCACCTGGGGGCGGGGAGGGGGACGAGCTCGGTAAGCCGGTATGGTCTTGGACACCCGCACCTCTCCAAGAAACCGGAACCCCCAGGCCCACCGCTACTCTTCCCCTTCCCTGCTGAAACCCACCGCACCTTCTTCGTCGCCCTGACACCTTCACAGCCCCCAGGCCCCCGCTCTCCCCCTTCCTCTCACCCCAGCTCCCGCAATCCCCCTCCCGCACCCACCCACCCACCCACCAGCTGCCCCGGTCGCATGGCCCTAGCTGCGGGTATGGCGTAGGTGGACTTGGTCCACAGCACCTCCCAACTGCCCATGTGCTGCGAGCCCAGCGGCCCCCCGCCTCCTCCTGCCGCTCCTCCTCTTCCTGCTGGCAGCCCCCCAGCACCACCACCTCCGCTCATGCTAAGCCGCTGCAGGTCCCGTAGCTGCTGTTCTTCCTCCTGCTGTTGTTGCGGTTGCAGCTGCAGCAGCACCTCCCCCCTCCTGCGCGCCCGCTCCTGCTCCCTGTTGGGTCCGCCTGTACGGCAGCCGCCCGCCTCCGCCAGCACCTGATCTACTAGGGCCACCGCCACCCGGCCATGGCTCCATAACACCTCGTCGATCCAGAACCGGAAGGGGAGCTGCTCGGCAGGCGGTGGAGGCGGCCCGGCAGGGAGGCTGCGAGGTGGGCGCCTGGGGTGGTCCGTGGCTGCATGGGCCGGGGTTGAAGGGGGAGGCAGGGGTTAGGGAAGGTCTGTTTGGGGTGTGGCTTTGCGAGGATGGCGAATTAGGCAGGTTACCTGGGAGTATGGGCAGACCGGGTGGCACACTGCCTGTCCCAGTACGGCCGGGGGGGAGCGACCGCGGCACATGCTGGTTTCGCTGCTTGCTTTTGCGTCGACCACAGGAAGGAGCCAAGGCAGGCCCATGAACTAGGTGATCCTGGGTCTCGGGGCCGCTGAAGTTCCGTGACGCGGCGCCATCCGCCGACAACATTGTCGACTCTCGGTGGTGACTCTTAAAAATAAGTTTGGATCACTACACGTGTATACGACTGCGTTGATATGGCGTATTTGCTTGCTGCTTTGCAGCGCAGCGACAAATGCTAACTAAATCCTAGTCAGTAGGTTCTATGTGTACACGCAATAACACATTGAACGTCGCAAGCATTGCATCCGTCTCCATAATATCATCAAGAAGGAAGCCTAGGCCTCAGCATGAGGAAATTGCGAAACTCAGAAGTGGGGATTTCAGTACACTGAAAGAATTACCATGTTCAACAATGGCATCATAAGATCCTTGCTAAGGTGCATATAGGACCACAGCGCCAGTGCTGCTGTGGAGTTCTGCGAGTTCAGGAGTGTTACCAATGGCTCCGAAGCTAGATCCGCCGGCTGTCTCGCTGCCTCTTGCATGTCTTTCACGCTTTGGAGTAGCGGGCAAAAGGTCAGACCAGTCTACGGGCTTTACTATGCGGTGTTCGACTTGCCGACCTCTTGGCTCAGGAGGGCAAGTTCCAAGAAGACAGATGTCAGAGACAATGTCCAGGCCAGTAGGTGTTAACGTATGCAATGGCATTTACTGCCTCTATGCCATTTGCCCTGTTGGCGCCGTTGGGTGCATGGCATTCCACTCGGTGCATCGACGTTTTCACTGCCATACATTGACGCCAGTGGCTGCCGACACCCTCTGGTAAGGAACACAACACGCAGCCATGGATACCGTTGAACGGAGGTAGACAAATTCCAAAGCTACCACAAGGTATGTTGCAGGCACCCAACTTAGTGCAGCGGGTGGCACTCCACAACCGATGTTCGCCTTACAAACATCACCACCGAGATGGCGTCAGCGATCACCATAAAGACGAACAGACATATACCCTCTCACACCCTAGCGCCCCATATCCTTCCTGAAGCCGTGCGATGCCTGTCCCCGCACGCCTACACTGCCACCAACAATCACAGCCAGTACCGCCACTCGTCTCCATCGTACACACCATCGCCCAGCAGAATACTTAGCCGAAGCGCACAACACGCAACGCAGCAAGGAAGGGAACACATTTTCCACCTCCTTCCCCCCGAACCGCCTCACCTTCACATCACACACGATCTAGCTGTGCAGTCCCTTGCAATTAAGCCCCCATCGCCTCACTACCAAGAACCCACCTTTCCGCCCGCCCCTGGCTCTTCCCAACTCCTTCACCTAGTCGCCGGCGGCGCCAGTCCCGCGCTCTCCGCCAGCAGCGCCTGAATGCGCTCGTCCAGCAGCACCACCAGCTCCTCATCCGGGCTGTGACCCCGCCGCAGCAGCTCCATCTTCCGCCGCGTCAGGCGCTGGATCTCAGCCAGGTAGTCCCCCATGTCACCACCGCCGCCGTCGCCGTCGTTGTCATCGCCGGGGCCGCCAACATGGGGGTAGTAGGCAGGGTCAGGGCCATGGACGTGGGGAGCCGGGGCGTTGCCTGGATGGTGTGGGGCTCGCCCCAAGGTATGTTCGCTGCCGCCGTCGTCCTCCTGCCCTGCAGCGCCAAGGACGTGAGGCGGCGGGTGCGGGTGCGGGTGCTGCGGGTGTGGCTGCTGCTCCCAAGTGCGCCGGCGGTGGTCATGCAGCTGCTGCTGTTGGTACTGTTGTTGGTTGTATTGGGAGTACTGGAGGTCAGGAGCAGACGCTTCACGAGGAGGGTGCTGAGCCCAGCGCGCCCCTAACTGCGCAGCCTCCGGTGACTCTAAGGACCGTCGTTGTTGCCCCGGAAAGGTTTCATCGCCCTCATCAAAGCCCTCGTCGCCTTCTTCTTCTTCCGGGCGGGCGGTAGTTCCCTGCTCGTGTTGGTCCTGGTAGGCGCGCCAGGTGCCTTCGTTTTCATCCCGTTGCGTGCTCTGCGGCGAGTGGTAGGGGAGCTGTTGCCGCTGTTGCTGGTGTTGCGGGTGCGGTTGCTGCCCGCCTCTATGATGCTGCTGCTGCGGGTGCTGTTGTTGTTGGTACCACACGGCTGCTGCTGAGCTCGCATTGGCCAGGTGGTCAGCCAGGCTCTGCCGTTGCTCGCTTCCTGCGGTAAGGAGGAGAGCACCCGTGCTTCCAGCAGACCCCCCCGTGCTACCACGAGCTGGATGAGGGTGCGCCCCAGTGTCGACCTGCTGCGGCGACTCAAGCCAGGGCTGCATCTCTTCTCTTTCCCTCACTTCGCCGCCAGCGACATCCCAGCGGGCCCGGCCAGCAGGGTGTGAGGAGGGCGGGTAGGCCGGGGCTGCTCCTTCATAGCCGCCGGATTCCATACCAGTCTCATACACATGCGGTGGCCGCTGATACTCCTGATGCTGGTGCTGCAGTTGCTGCTGCTGCTGCCAGGATGGGGGGTGCGACGCTGCTGCCGCCGCAGCTGCAGCCTGCTGTGATTGCGGAGTGGCAGTGGGCTGCTGCTGCTGCAGCGGGCGATGGGATGTCGTACTGGAGGTGGAGGTGGCGATGCTGCCTGCTGGGGAGGGACCGCTGCTAGCAGAGCCGCCGGGAGCGACAGGAGCTGCCCCGGGACCTGCTGCATGCGCTGGTGGGTGCAGCTCGACGGTGGCGGCAGCAGGAGGCAGCTGCGATGTGGAGGAGGCTGGTGGTGCTGCTGTGGGTCGGCGGTCGGGCGCGGCAGAGGGGTGCGAGGTAGCGACGACGGAAGCTCCTCGGGAGGCACCGGAATGCGATGCAGAGGAGTGCTGTTGAGCGGAGGTGGCGGCGATGGCGACAGCTGGGACCCTTCCCTCGCTCGCTCGCCAGTCCGAGCGGCCTACTGCCGGGTATCAAAGTGCAAAAGGAAGGACGTTTGTGTCAAGCAGCAGTTGAGGACAGGAGGCGCTCACTCTACTCTTTTCATGTAACATCTACTGCAGGTCTGCAGCATGAATGCAGGTGTGCATCCAGGTACGCACGGTCAGCACACACAACCTGTTAGTGGGTTCCTAACCGGTTTCTTACCGGCGTGACGGTGCTGGTCGTTAACCCCGCGCGAGTCCGCATCCACATCCGCAGCACCGCCCATCAGCACCGCACCTGCCGCTGCCGCGCCGTTGTTGCCAGCCGCGCGGCTGCCTCCGCCGTCGCTGCCGCGTCCCCGGGGTGAGCTGCTGGGCGAGAGCTGCGCCATAGCGGCTGCCTTGATGGCCTGCAGCTGCGCGCGCATGGCCGCTAGCTCCTGCTGCTGCGAGGCGGCAAACCTGGGGCCAGCATGGGGGGTGGGACATATCAATAAGGCATTACTTGGGCACAGGGTTAAAAACACCAGTAGACGCCAGGCGTAGGAAAGCGTTGGGAGGAAAGAACAGCTGTCTGCGGTCGGAGGAGCTATACCGGTAGTACTTAATCGAATGGGAATGGGAATGGCGCGTCATGCTCCCGCGTAGCCAACCGCAGTGTGTCCGGCCATGTCCGGACGCATCCCGTGCCGGCATCATGCCCGACCAGCAGCCCTGTCCTGCATCACTACGGTACTCCTGCGAGCCCCTTCTTAGCAACACCCATGCCTCTAGGGGCGCCCAGCCCTCCGCCAATTCAAACCCACCTAGCCTCCAACCCGACAACCAAAGGTAAATCCCCGTCCTACAGCTCGTCCGTTTCCACTTTTTACCCACCTAGCCTGCTCCTGCGCGGCTGCTCGGATGGCACCAGGTGCGGGCGCCGCGCTCAACCCCAGGCCCGGGCCGCCGCCCAGAGGCTGCCCAAACATTGCCGCCGCCGCCGGCTGCTCCTCCTCCCGGGGCCGCCGCCGCTGCAGCGCTGCTAGCTGCTCTGCTAGCTTGCGCACCTACGCCAGCGACGCGGGTGGTGTGGGCGGGGCGTTAAAGACACTGGAAGCGAGCATGCGGTGGGTATGGGAAGACGCCAGTTTAGGAGGAGGTGTTGCTTAGGAACGTGCCTTGCCGTGAACAAAGGACATACAAGCATCTACCGAAAAATGTGTCAGCCACAACAGCAGATAAAGCTGTGCATGGCCTCGCATGCGCGGCGAGTTTCCTTAACGCACACGCACACCACCAACAGACCTGCTCCTTGTAGCCTTGCTTAGCTTTGGCGGCCTTGGCTGCTCGGGCCTCTGCTGCCTTGGCGGTCTCCCTCGCCTCCGCCAGCTGCCGAGCCAGCTCTGCCTCCGGGGTGGAGCGAGAGGCTGCGCGGAAGTCTGTGCGGAGCGAAAAGACACAGCAGGCAGAGCGGGTGGAAAGAGAGGGTAAACAACGTATCCACGCAAAGTATCAAACACATGCAGGGAAACGTCTGAAACGTGTCGTCAGCGTGTCGCTAGGGGGGCAAAGGCCAGGAAAATCAGTTCGGTCATGTTACACGCCGCCTCCTCCGCAGCCCTCCATGCTCTCCATCCAGCACTCCGCTCCAACCTCACCAGCAGCAACATGAGCACCCCCCACTACCCCCACACCTGCAAACTCGTTTTCCACGGCCAGGCAGCGCGCCTCACTGGCCGCCAGCCGCTCCTCCAGCATGGCCACCCGCCGCACCAGCTCGGCATTCCTGCGTAGCAGGTAAGGGGATTAGGTGAACTGGAGCCGCGGAAACACTGACTCTGATCGTAGTTTACCGGTTTATGAGGGCCGCAGGCCGCAAACGGCCGATACCCTCACGTACGTTCACAGCAGCAACAGCGGAACGCTGGAAACCAGCGAATCGCAGGGTCTTCCCTACCCTGGTCTGCACCCGACTGGACACGGTACCAGTACCCTTCCGGCAGCCCCCATGCGTCCATGCCTCCATGCCCACAGCCCCCCACAGCCCCCCAAGCCCACCTGTCCTTCTCAATGTCCAGCTGGTGCTCGCACTCCACCTGCAGCCGCCGCACCGCCGCCTCCGCCTCCACCATGCGCGCCGCGTGCTCGCGCTCCAGCTCCTTGCGCCGCCGCAGCAGCGCCTCCTCCGCTGCCACAATGCGGCGTTCGCGACCCTCCGCCGCCGCTAGCACCTGTCCCGAGGAGAAGGAAGAAGAGGGCACGTAAGCAACCACCGCTGCCCAGCCGTTGTTCTCGGGACGCTCCTGTGTGCCCAGAGGGCCCGAGCGACCAGAGAGAGGCGGCAACCGGCCAGCACTCGGACGGGGTCCCACCCGTCTCCTGCTCGGCACCTCACCTGCTGCGCCTTGTCCTCAAGCGCCAAGTACTCCGCCTTGAGGCCTGCCAGCTCCGCCTCCCTCGCGCGCTCCCGCCGCCGCCACTCGCTCTCCAGGACCATCATGCGCTGGGCCTCGCGCTCGCGCAGCTCGGAGCGCCAGCGGGCCTCCTCAGCTGGAGGGAGAATGGGATTGAGGGGGACGGGATCATGAGCGAGGTGACGGGTGAGTTATGGGTTGAGGGTATGTCCGGGCTACTGGGCCAGGCCATGGTATGTCAACATAAGCGTGAAAGATGCGTGTGAATTGAAAGGCACGGTCGGGAGGCGTTTGCAGAGCTGAGATATCCTGAGGGTATCGGTATGCGCCATGCTAGCCTGGGCCGGAGCAATGAGCCCACCACCTCCTAGCTCCCACCTTTCTTCCAGACCTCCAGCTCCCATGCAGCCTCAAATTCGGGCGGAGCGCTCTGCCGACCTGCCCCCGCCGCTCCAGCCGCGGCAGGTAAGGACCCGCGTAAGGCCCCAGGCCCCAGCGCCAGCGCTGGTGGCGGCGGCAGCGACAGTGTTGGCGGAGGCGCCATACCGTACGATGGCGGCAGCGCCGGCTGTTGTTGCCGTTGTGGCGGCGGTAGGGGCACGCTGCCTTGAGGGCCCGCCAATCCAACGGCTGAGGAACCCCCCGCTGGATTTGTCGCTGCGGGTTGCTGAGGCCCTGCGTTCGGCGGTGCGGGGTACATCTCACGGATACGTAGCCCCATCGCACTGTCATCTGAGGCTGCCGCTGCTGCTGCGGGGCCCGTCGCCCCGGCTGCATCTGTGGCTGCGGCATTGTGGCTTGGATCGGAAAAGCTAGGCTGTGCAATGAGGGCCGTAGCGGCTGCAGTGGGGTCGTTAAACGCCGAGGGCGGTGCAAGGGGCGCCGCAGAAGCTGCGGCTGTTGCGAGTGGCTGGCTGCCGGGCGGGGCTGCAGGGCCCTTGTCCTCCAGCGAGAGTACGACACGCAGGGAGCCTACCTGCCGTACAAAAATGTGATAGGAAGAAGGCAATACCGGGTGCGTTTATGCGCTAGGTTGTGTGGGTTAGGGGCGTGCGCTGAACAGGCTATCGGCACATGTCGCACTCAGGTGCATGCAGATTCCTGTTCCCGAAGGGCGCACCTGCGTGACCGGTGGCCGTCTGTCGTACCTGTACGTGTACATGCCACAAGCGGGAGACGCCACTGCTGCTGTGGAAAGTCCAAGCCCCCGCCCATCCCTCCCAAGCCGTCGTTCCCACACACGCTCGCCCGCTACTCCTCGCCACCCTTTCCCTCCCTGTCCTGCCCCGCTCGCAGCCGCTCACCTGCACCCGCTCCTCGCGCACGTCCGCCCCCACCGCGCTGGCCACCAGCGCAAACAGCGGCGCGTATCCGTCCACCCAGGCGCCCTGCAGCAGCGGCGTCAGCGGCACGGAGCCAGCACCCAGCAGCATGTCCGTGCGGAACCTGTAGGGCAAGAGCAGTGGCCGGTGGGAGCCGGGGGGGCAGCGGAGGAATGGGGGTGCAGCATGCAGGAGGTGCGGTGGGAGGTGCGCAGTTGAAGCGATCTGAATGCAGTGACGCGGGTATGAAATGCAGGAAGCCATGAGCCATGGTACCGCATCTCGTGCACCTACCTTTCTTTGTGCCAGGCCTCCACGCTGACCCGTGGTTCACGTGCCAGCACACGCGCCAGCTGCACCACGCCCGCTGTGAACTCCAGTGTGCCGTACCTGCATGGCATAATGTAAGAGCGGCAAGCAGAGCGCATTCAAGCACCACGCACAGGCGCCCAGCGCATGCAACGTGGGGTTCAGCACGCGGCTGCTATCCGCCCTCAGGCGAGCCATGTGTTAGATCTTAGATGTGTACCCCCGGTATTGAGGCATCTGGTCGGGTGTAGCGTGCCATGACTCTCCCATGTACCCGACTTCCCAGCGAACCGTTAACGTCACGCTTGCACGCATGCCACCTTACCCGTTAGGCAGCGCTCCCTCCGTGCCCCGCGGTATGTCCACCGTGGGGTGTGTGGTGAGGGGCGCCAGGCGGGAGGGCAGCCGGAAGCCGCTGCCCACCACCAATTCTGCGAGGAGCACAGCCCGGAAGAGCAGGCGACATGCTTAGGAGATACAGGACGCGGAACCCTGGAGAAGCCATCAGGCCGCGGTAGCAGGGGCAGAAGGCGACCGACAAGAGCATGCTTGTTGCTTGAGCTCGCGAGCACCGGTATATGAGGCTAGTGCCGCTGGCTATGTCGACGTCGACATCCACCCCTCCAGTAATTATTGGTACAGCATATTACCGGACCCCACCCCGAGCTTTGCCACACGGTTCGTTCCTTCCTCTTTACCCCACACGCTACCCTACCTATCAGTTCCGGCGGCATGATGGCCTGCACGTACACGCTGGCGGTGCTCAGCGGCAGCCGCTTGCTGCTCTGGAAGCTGCGCACATCCACCATCAGCGCAAAGTGGCGGAAGGGGCCCTCATCCGCTGCCGCCGGCCCCAGTCCCCGCGCCGGGCTGCCAAAGTTCGGCAGACCCGCAGTCGGGGCCGCTGCTGCCGTACCAGCGGAGGTAGGGCCTCCTCGGGGCAAGCCAGCAGCATCCACACCGTCAGCTGCTTCAGAGGAGCGTCCCGGGTCACCGGCGCCGGCTGCCGGTCCAGAGGCCGTAGCCGCGTCCCCTGCGGCCTCGCTGACGCCAGGGAGGGCCGCGGTAGAGGAGCGGTTAGCGGCTTGCTGCCGCCTCACGCCACGCGCTTTGCTGGGAGATTGTTTGGGTTCTGGGGAGCTGAGCGCGCCGGGCCTGTCTTCATAGAAGAGGGCCTGCACGTATACTTGCGGCGAGTCTCCTTTCTTGGCGCCTGTGAGGCCCATCCATACGCCTGCGGGTGGGTCCGTTGGGGAGGGTCCACAAGGGCATTGAAGGTAAAGCCAATGCTTGCAACCCGGGCGGCACTTCGGTCACTCCTGTCGGTATAGGAGCACGTAAAAGCGAACGCGGCCTTACCCTCGTCCTTCTTGTACTGCGCCTGCAGCTTGGCTGCGCGGATGTCCACAAGGAACCACCCGAGCTTGGTGCCATCCTTGTTGGTGAGGACAACCTTGCAGTCCTTTTGCCCAAGGGACGTAAGGCGCCTAAACTGATCCAAAGTAACCCGCCATTGCAACGTCGTGTTCCAGACGTGCGTATCGCGACCAACGCTGTAGGGTGTTAACTTTGTCTCGCCAGCAAAAGTAGCCGCGCAAACAACCGCTTGCAAGTCTGGTCCAAACGCTTTTCCATCCTGTATATTGACGCTTAAGATGTGTGACCGGTCTTCCGGACCAGGACTCGCCATGGAGAGCAGAGGCGCTTGGTCAACGCTCTTAATAGACCAATAAGTTGTTATTATCCACGGGTTATTTCAAAAGTTATATCCATAAATACTCTTAACATTATATATAATTTGCTGGACTCAGTCAGGTGACCTTGCGACGTGGACCCATTCCGACTATAAGAAGCAAGTAGGGAGTTGCCAAGCAACGATCATGTAGATCATAAAGCTTAACGGAATACTTTTCGCTTGAAGCGGTGGCTACGCCCAGCATGGATCCTATGGATCCAGGTACCGGTATGCTATGCTACTTGTGAACCAGCCGAGGGCCCGGACGTTCAACAACAAGGAGTCAATATTTGCGGCTTTGGTCCTTCCATCTCCATAATTTATGGAGAGGAGCAGCCGACAGCAATACCTGCTTTTAATAGCTCGTATAATCATCCTGACCATAGCGGGGGGTTAGAGTCAGTACCTTCGTCAAATGCTTGAAGTTCATCAAGCAGCAGACTTGCGCTCCCATTTCCGTGCAGACCTTCATAGGTCGGCCGCTCGGCCCATGGGGCATCCGCTCCGAAGTTATCCAGTCATCAACAAGACCCGACCACATTTCAGTCGCGATAGCACCTTGCTGTTCTTGCAGCATACGTCTAGACAGAGTTTCTTGCCATAGCGAACCCACCACTAATCGCATCTCTCCGGTGAAGATGTCGGGCACGGACGCGGTCCCCGCAAGTGCACAGATACATGACTACACGAACCTAAAACAGCTTTCCGAGGAACAAAAAGCTCAGTTGCAGCGGCTAGAGCAGGCGGACGCGGGAGCAGGTAGCCCCGATGCTGGCTATCGCATTGTGGACAACCAGCCCTCGGCGAAGCTGCTAAGCGGATATAGCATACCACTTGTAGGCTTGGGAACCTGGTAAGGCCTTCTCCAATTTTGTGGTTCTAGCGATGCTTTAACGTCTTGGCATCCAGCCATCCATCGCGAACGCCTGGGACCTGCCGAGCAGACTCCCTTCCTCACGCCCACTTGCACGCACTTGCATACAATAGAAGATCTAATTCAATGATACTTTTTAACCTGGGCGGCCCTGCAAAAAAGGAATAAACGGTTGAGTCGACACGCCCAATTCACGCTCACCTCAGGAAGAGCGCCAAGGGCGAGGTCGGGGCCGCTGTCGCCACGGCCCTGCGACAAGGCTACCGTCACATCGACTGTGCCAAGATCTACCAAAATGAGCACGAGGTATGGCTTCCTGGGTTGCAGAAGCACTGACCTGCACGTGATTTTGTACTACATACATCGATCCACAGAGCACACCATCCTGCTCTCGCAGTCCACTTCATCCTTTCTTTCCAGTCCAGTCCACGTCACCTCCTCATGCCTCTGTCCCGCAGGTGGGCGAGGCGCTGTCTGCCGTACTTTCCGAGGGCGTCGTACGGCGCGAGGAGGTGTTCATCACATCCAAGCTCTGGAACAGCGACCACGAGCCGAGCCGGGTGGAGGCGGCCTGCAGGCGCACCATGGAGGACCTGCGGGTGGGGGTGGTGCGGCCTGCGCGCGGGGGGTTACCCAGAGGCTTCCATGGGGTTTCCGTCGGGCTTACCCGTGCTTGGCAGGATTTGAAGCACATGAGCGGGTTAGCAACAAGCGCAACATCACCATGCGTGCTAATACCGTATTGCCCACAATTTAATTGACAAAAATAAAATGTTTTGGGTTTTGTCAAATGGGGCAAACTTGTTTTTTTGCCATGTCAAATGGGGCTGGAAATTCGCTGGCAAGGTGTCAAATGGGGGCAAAATATTCCGCCTGGGGTGACTGCAGGGAAGACTAAGATGGGAACGGAGAGGTAGGGGGCAACTGACTTGCCAGTGCGCTGGATCCTCACCGCGCCATGCCCAGTCGGGGTTTCCAAATGGTGTTCCACTTATCCTCCTAGGGCTGCACAGCGGCACACAGCTCCTTTCCTTACCATGTTACATCCAACACGTACGGCGGCTTTTGGGGTGTTTTGGCGCATGTCAAAAGGGGCTAGAAATTCGCCATCAGGAAGTCAAATGGGGCATAAATTATTTTCGCTTTGTCAAATGGGGCTAGAAAATAGGCCTCCAAACGCATGTCAATTAAATTTTGGGCAATACGGTACCCGGATGGGGTGTGTTAAGAAAACACACATTCCAACCCTCATTCCAACGAGTTTCCTAACCCCGGCCCTACCCCTCCTGCGCCTGGCCTGGCCCGGCCCGCTCCAGGTGAGCTACCTGGACCTGTATCTGATGCACTGGCCGGTGAGCGGCAACAGCGGGCCCGAGGTGCTGCCGCGGCTGGAGGACACGTGGGCCGCCATGGAGGCACTGGTGGGGGGTCAAAGACCATACCGGGGGGGGGGAGACAGCGGGGACATGGGGGTTTAGAGGGTACATGGGGGAGGGAAGGGATTTGAGTTACCATGCTGGGAAAAAAGAAATTCCAAAGTGTGGTGTGATGATGATATAAGTTGCTGACAATCCCTGGTGAAATGAACCGTGAGTCGAGCCGAAATGGTGGTGAAAGCAAAGCGAGCTAAACTTACCGGACTTACCAATTATGGAGAAACCTTACCATAGGCTTGGGCATGTGTGGAGGCTGCTGAAGGTGAGGTGGAGACCCACCGCGCCGTGGGGCATACGCCAACAGCAGGAACAGCACAACACGAGCACTCATAAAAAACAACACAGACCGACACATGATAAAACACGTACCATGCTGGGAAGGAGGGAGGCAGGGTGGTGTAGGGTACCTGCACAGGTGCGCTTGCGTTGTAGAGGTATGAACTGGTGGGCGGGGGTTAGGGTGCGAGAGGCGTGCGGCTTCGGGCTGCGACACGACATGGTTATTAGACGATGTCCGGGCCTTGGATCTTGGGTCCTGCCCATTAAACGTTCCTCCTGAACCCAGCACAGACGTGTAGGCGTGCCATGCATTATTGCGAATGTGTTCGGTTTAACGGCCACGTGTGATGTGTGTTTTCGTACTGCAGGTTGACAAGGGCCTCGTACGCACCATCGGCGTGTCCAACTTCTCCATTAAGAAGCTGGAGAAGCTGATGGCGGGGGCTCGCATCAAGCCGGCTGTGGTGCAGGTAACACTGCTGGGGCCTGTGTTGCGACGTGTGCCCACGGGTTTTTGGCCTGCCCTTGATTCAAGGCGCTCCGCTAGGCCGCGGCTTGGAAGCAAGGGAACAGCCTTAGTGAACACCCCGGCAAATTGTAGAAGTTTTCGCGTGAGCTTTTTGGCATCTTTTTCGTGCAAAAGGTTTGAAATTTGAATGTGTATATGCAAGTCACAAAGACAACCTGCGCTGTGGCTCCAAGTCAAGAACGATTGTTATGAGTTGAGAGGAGTTTCTAGCTGCAGCGTTCGTCACATAATCATTGCACAGGTGTTTGTTGTATTGTGATGTTAAAATAATGATGTGTATATGGGTGAGCAGTGATGTTGGCGTGTGCCGTACAAAGTACAAAGCAAGTTACAAAGGAAGAGGCCTTAAGCGCATGTCGATAGCTTGCTACACGTTGGTATCCGTTAGGTTGTTGTCGCGGTAAGGCCAGCAGCGTAGTTTAATAGGGCCGACGCCAATGGCTTCGGTATTGCCTTCCTTACTCAATACACACAATGGCCAGGGAATGCAGGAAAACATATGAAGTTGAGGCTCTGTGTAAAGCAGCCGAGACTATTGCTTCTAGCGGACTGAAACTTACTGCCAAGCTACTGTATGATGAAGTGTGCTCCGACACGCGCTTGAAGGGCTTGAATTATAAACGTGTTCTCAACTTTTTGCAATACAACAAAGCCGTGCAAAAGTATATCCGGCCTAGGCCCAACGCTACCACTCAGCCTTCGAAGAAGCGTGCTAAGTGGACTCCGGACGATGAAGCAGCGTTTCAGGAAGCAGTGCTCACGCTACAATCCACCAACAGAAATGTAACAGCGGGCGCTGTCGTAAAGGAGTTGAATGGAAGTGCTGCCACGTACAGACAAGTGCACTACCGAGTTGGGCAGTTGGCGAAAACTCAGCGTCATCTATGTTCATCAGAGGATAATGTAAACGTCAGCAACAATAGCGGTGTGGAGGATGGCGACATTGGTGGGTTATTGGTTGTTTGCCAATATTTGCTAGTTGTGGGGCATTGGCAAAGGTTCTATAGCTCCGGCCTTCGTTTAAGCGCACAAACGTTATATAAGCCTTAGAGAACACTTGCTGCTTGAGAAACATAGATGACGGAGTTTTGGGTTCGCGCCATGCCCTTTCAGATGAAGACGAACCCGGCACCGAGAACGAGCCAGATGTGGATTCCGACGGCCTTGGGCTCCCGACCACCAGCACGCACTCGTGTCTCAAAGTTGCTGAGAAGGCGTGCAGAGAAGCGTTCTCCCAAACCAGCTCGTTTGCATGCTGCTGCTGTGAGCGACGTCTGTTCAAACATTCAGTGGTAGAGGTCACGGATACCATGTATGACACCCTCAGCGAAGTGTGGGCAACAAACCTTGCAGGATGGGTAGCCCGAACTGGCATAGGACATATATGCCATACATGCTTAAATAACATCCGTAGTAGGGTCACCCGCGCGCCGCCCTCATGCAACCAGCCACACAACTATCACCCACCACCCCACAACTCCACTTGGGCAGGCCATGAGATCGCTTCGGTCTGGTTAGCGTAGGTCGGACCCATGGGTCGCAAGGCACACTATTATACGAACGAAAGGGAGAACGTACATGTCGGCGTGGGTTTTAGTCATCTCGTGTATCCCCACATCTATGTCCCCGCAGAGACTTCCGTGACGTAGACCTGTTGCCGCGTAACTCGGCCCCTCAACTCCTCGATAACCCCTCGGCACCATTCCTCCCCATGCTGGCACGGTTGTAGGTCGAGGCGCACCCCTACTCGCGCAACCAGGCGCTGCTGCACTGGTGTTGCGAGCGCGGGATGCACCTCACCGCCTACTCGCCGCTGGGCTCCCCGGACAGCGCGGCGCTCACCAAGCGGGCGGAGGACGCGCCCAGCCCGCTGAGGGAGCCGGCGGTGGCGGAGGTGGCGGCGGCGCTGGGGAAGAGCCCGGCGCAGGTGGGGGCGTGGGTGGCGGTTGGAGAGGCTGATGGAGGGAGGGAAGGGGAAAGGTGGGGTATGAGGAGAGCCATGAAGGTGTGTGGAGGCCAGTTGCGTATCATGTGCGCGTTTGCTTACCTCCTGATCCCATTCCACTGCTGCTGCATTGTGTTACTTTGCGTTTTTGTTAATCTGTCGTACACTTTGTGTGTATGACACGCTGCCGTACTTCTCACAGATTCTGATCCGCTGGGCGGTGCAGCGGGGCACCAGCGTGCTGCCCAAGTCCGTCAAGCCCGAGCGCATCCGCTCCAATTTGGACGTGTTTGATTGGGAAATCCCGGCGGATATGTACGACAAGCTCTCGAAGCTGCCGTACCAGCAGCGGATGGTGGACGGCAGCTTCTGGATCAATCCTGCGGGACCGTACAAGACGCTGCAAGACCTTTGGGACGAGTAAGAGGTGGGGCAGAGGAGGGGAGGCTCCTCTTTCTGCATCCTATGATGAGCTGTTTGTTCAGTTGTGTTGGTGAAGTGTTTTGGGGTTGGCTTTGGGGTATGGTTGGCTATGGGGTTGCAGAGGATAGGAATGGAGTAGACCGTTGACAATCGTTAAGATCCATTATTGCTACGTTGCAAGCAGCGCTGCAGGATAGACCTCCGCAGGAAGTGGGACTTGAAGGCCCATGTGGGTAGCCGAAGTGTAGTTACGGAGTCAAGGAGGGGTTTCAGAGCGGCGCCTCATCCGCATGTAAAGATCTAAGCAGCAGCTTCAGTGAATTGGGGCAAAAATGCCTGCGAAGCAAGGAGTGGTCGTGACAGCGTGTGGACATGAAGCCCTTGACCAGCAATCCGTAAGCCCTCGTCCCTTTGAAGGGGCTGTGACCAACACTTAGTAACATCAAGTGGAATGTACGGAACACTCATTCTTGGGGCCAGGTGCGCTGCCAGGTGGACACAACGAGCAACGACATGGCGAGACAATGCACCCGCCCCCGGCAGGCACTCTAGCTGCATACCGGTACGTTCCACAGCAAGGAACGACCCGCTGTTGTGGTAAACCTTACGGACGTTCTATCGTATGTCCTGTCGTACTAGAGCCAAAAGTACGGCTAAGAGCTTAGGACATTCAGCAGGCACTACGGGTTCATGCACCTGGTTCGCTCACCGAGATGCATGTGCCACCAAACACACGGTACCGTCGGTATATATACGGCAGCTCATAACATCATGACATCATAACCTTATAACATCATGAGGTGTTGTGCAGTATGCATATTGCCCGTCACTCTCCACTCACACACAGCGGAAAGGGGTGCATGCCATCATCTACCGTACATGCGTAAGCCTCCTTGTGTAAGCCTCCTTCCTTGAATTTAAGGATGAAAAAATAACAAACTCACGCCTCTCTCCTCGCCTTGCCACCAACAAAAACCTGTACAGTAGATTTCCAACGCTATCTCAAAGCTTTGTACTCCTTTATATAACATCCACCATCATGGTTGCTCGGCGTAAACCCGAAAGAGTAGATGGGTGTGAAGCTCTGCGATGATTGACCCACGGATCATTTCCCTTGTTTGGGGGTTCATCAGCGTACTCTACTCCGTCATCCCATGCCATCATCAGTAGAATACTTGTTACTCTTGATTAACCATCATTAGTTGCATCGTATGCACTTTAAAACACCAGCTCGGGCCATACCCTTTTCCCTACTCACGCCTTGCCATCCTGCATGGTGCATCTCCCATACGGTGTCCTACATAGTTGAGCCATCGTATCCTCACGCGTATGTAAGCCAGCCCATATATATACTATTTTCCATACAAGTCAAGCAATCTCGGAAAGCGTGAAACATGCCAACATGCTGCTGCGCTGCAAGCAGTGTCCTTATCTAGCGCCGTACCTAGCGCCCATGTCCGCCCCTGCCATGCCTACACCATACAGCGCCTTACAGCGCTTGCCTCCAATTGGCAGGGATAGCCGTCCGCCTGCGAGCCGCCTGTTGACTGCTGCTGTCGCCGCCGCCACCGTTGCTGCTTCGGCCACTTCCACCATCCCCTCCACCTGCTCTGACGCCGACAGACACCAGCGATCGCTCTTTCTCCCCATCCTGCTCCTGCTGCTGCTGCTGTTGCTCCTCCTCCTCCGCAAGCTCCATTGCGAGGCTTTCTGCTGTTGGTTTAGCATGAGCAGCATTACCGGTCGTCGGGACAGCAGTAGCAGCAGCACCAGCACCTGAGCCGCTGCTGCCGCCCTCCTGCTGCTGCTGCTTGCGAGCGTGTGACATCTCAGCTGCCATACTGGCCCACCGGGAGGCCCGGGAGGGCGTGGAGATTGAGGGTTTGGCGGAGTCAGTGGCAGAGGAGGATGATGGTGTCCCAGAAAGGGCATCCCGCCAGTTCCTGTTGTTGATGCCGGTATCGGTGCCTTGGGAGCCGCCCACGGCAAGCGGAGCTGTTGTTGATGAGGTGGGTTGCTGCTCCTGCTCTAGATGCTCTTGCTGCTCCTTCCAAAGCTCCTCATCCTGCTCCTCTCCCTCCCATATCGCATGCAGCAGATCCAGGGCTATTTGGTTTCCTCCTCCTCCTCTTTCGGGGTCTTTCTGCTGCCGCGGCGGCTGCTGTGCAAGGGGCCCGAACGGCGAGGGCTGCGAGGCCGGCTCCCAGTGCTGTTGTTGCTGCCACTGGTACGAGGGCTGCTGTTGTTGTGGTGGTGAGTGCGCCCCGCTGTCAGCAGCGGCAGTGCTGGCAGGCGACGGGGGCCCTAGGGCGGTCTTGACGAAGGCGAGGGCCTGGGGGGAGGGGGCGGGGGATAAACAGGGAGAGAATTAAGAACTCATCGTTGTTGCCCTGTGAGGGAGGGAGGGAGGAGGGATACTACCGTATTGCGGACAGCCTGGCGACCGACCGGCGGAGGGCCGCCGCGTGCAGAGTAAGCGACACGGACACACGGACACGCCCTGTCGCATGCAGCAGCGACATGCCTAGCTCACCTCCCGCAACGCCGTCACCTTGACCTCGTACTCGGTCTTCAACACCGCCTTCTGCAACTCGAACTCCGCCTGAGTAGGGGGTAGCATTCCGAGCGGGCGGGGTGGGGACGCGGCGGGTGCAGCACGGCAAGGTCGAGATTCGCATGCTGCGTCGCAGGGCTGATCGGTGGTTGAGGTTTCCTTTATCCCGACCGCGCTCTTGCTTGGAGCACCACCCTAAGCCCTAACAGCGGCAGCGGGCAGAACCACTATGCCACGTGAGTTAGCAGACTTAGCACCACGCGTCGCCCATGCGCGTGCCCCTCTCCCTCCCGCCCCTCTTGCCCCTCTCCGCCACCTTACTTGTCCTCCTCCTCCCACCACCGCTACCTGCATCCGCTGCCGGTCTACCGCCGTGGCTCGCTCCATGGCTCCCTTCACCTGCTGCAGCTCCTCGCGCTGCCGACTGCGCTCCGCTCGCAGCTCAACCTGAGGTGGCGGCGGTACCGGAGCACGCAGCCAGCCAGCCAGCAAGGGGCAACAGCAGCGGCGGCAGGATGATGTTGTTAAGGCAAGGCAGTAGCGCCCTCTAGCCACACCAGCAACAGCAGCATCATGGCAGCATCAGCCGACAGCAATCAACAACAGCTAGTTAAGATGCAGACCATGGCAATTGAAGCCACCGGTGGAACTCAGCTACGCACGCACGCACCAGCAGAGGCTGGCTACGCACCAGCCCAATCCCACCGCATACCACCCGGCTCCCGACAACCTCCCCCGAACACACACCCCATGGTAAAGCCTTGTCACACAGCTCGTTAGTCGCCTCGTCAGTTTCCTTATTTTTACCACTCACCTGCAGGCTCTGCATCTTCGCCGCCATGCTCTCCACCTCCCCTCGCGCCTCTCCCGCCTCTGCCAGCTGCTGCCGCTGCTGCGCCACCACCGCCGCCGCCGCCTGGTACTGCCCGCCCAGGTCCGCCAGCTGCGCCCGCAGGTCGGTGTTGTCCGCCTGCCGGGAGGCCAGCGCGGCCTGCAGGCGCTGTTCGCGCTGCGCTGCGGCGGTGAGGCTGCTGCGCTGCTCCTCCAGCCGGGACTGCCGGGACAGCAGCGGGGTGGGTGGCAGCAGGGTGCATGGCAGCAGGGTGGGTGTTGGGTTGTGGCAGCCGGGTGGGTGTTGGGTTGTGGCAGCAGGGTGGGTGTTGGGTTGTGGCAGCAGGGTGGGTGTTGGGTTGTGGCAGCCGGGTGGGTGTTGGGTTGTGGCAGCAGCAGGGATGCATGGATTGCTTACGGAGTTATTAGAGTTAAGCACAGAGCGAGGGTGACTAACTGATCAAGGACAGATAGCAGATGACGGTCAAGGAGGGACCCTGGCATGGCTTCGTTGCAGTGAAGGGATTCACAGCAAAGCGGGGAGTTAGTGATGAAGCAGGGGATGAGCTCTGGGGCGTTCTGCTTCAGTAAAACAAGCAAAGGAGAGTTCCTTTCGCGCGCGCACATGTGCCGTACCTTGTACTGCCCGATCGCCGTCTGCAGCTCCTCCACCCTGCCCAGCAGGCCCCGCTCCCGCTCCCCGGCTGCCTCGGCTCGAGCAGCCGCCTCGGCCTCGCGAGCTGCGGCCGCCTCCACCTCCCCAGCGGATGCATCCAGTCGGGCCTGTGGGAGGCAGTGGGAGGGGCAGTGGGTGAGAGGTGCAGAAGCGCGCATGCGCATGCAGATGCCGTGTATGCTGATGCGTGAGGAGTGCGTGCGAGGAGCTGCCAGCTCCCCAACTGACACGCTGGACCACACTAACCATGGCGCGCTTCCCCGCCACGTAGGCGCATCTTGTGAGGCTCTACATGCACACATGCCCCATGTACACCCCGCCTACACCCCCCACACCCTAACATACCGGTACCTCCTCCCCCCTCCCACCCACCTTGTACTCCTCCGTCAGCTGCGCCAGTCGCCCCATCTCGCGCTGCAGCGCCTCCGCCCGCTCGGCCATGGCAGCCTGCTCCGCGGCGGCGGCTGCCAGCTGGGCGCGCTGGGCCTCCAGCTGGGCCTGGTGGGGAGGGGGGTGAGAGTGGAGAGAGGGGAGTGGAGAAGACAGAGGAGATGAGCATGGAGAGAGGAAAGGAGGATGGAGAGAGAACAAACGAGGAGAAAAGGAACAAACAGCGCCATGCCGTGAACAGAGGGCAACAGCGTTAGGTGGGGCTGGTCTCCTAGTTAGGGTAAGATGCCGCCCAGCAGGTCTAGTCCAGTAATACCGGTAGTTCATCCTTGGGTCCAGCCATGGGCCCATGGCACGTACAGCACTTCCTTCCACAGCGTCCCCTCAAACCGTTCCCTCCAAGCAACACCGTACCCTCCATCATCACCCCATCCCGAGCCTGCTGTCCCAGCCAAACCATCCCTTTCCACATACACCTCCCTTTCCGCATACACCTCCCTTCCCACATACACCTCCCTTCCCACATACACCTCCCTTTCCACGCACATCCACTCGTCCCAATTGTTCTATCCAACACACCTCATACTCCTCCGCCGCCCGCCGCTGCTGCTCCAGCTCCCCCTCCAGCTCCCCCGCCCGCGCCTCCGCCTCCGCCAGCCGCCCCTCCTGCTCGCCCGCCGCCGCCTGCAGCCGCCGCAGCTGCTGGTCCAGCGCCTCCTCACGGTCCAGCGAGCGAGCCAACTCGCCGTCGTGCTCCTCTAGGTAGTCCTGTGGGGGGGGCAGGAGGGGCGGGGAAGGGGCAGGGAAAGGGGCGGGGAAGGGGCGGAAGAGGAAACAAAAAAGGGGATGACAGGGTATTTGGTGGTTGGAAAGGAGGGAGGGCAGGGCAACGGAAAATAAGCACGTAGTCCTGAGCTCCTGACACGGGAAATGGGGCAAGTTAGGGCGCCTCAGGCATGCAGGGTAGGCGCAGCAGCAGCAGAGGAGCTTTGCTAGCGGCACTACGACTGCTGCTTCGCTTCTCGGACGGGGCTTATTAACAAGCGCCGGGATCTCCACACACCACCAATGAATGAAGCCCATTCCTCGCCCCTGAAGCACACCGGGACCCCCATCCACCCTCCTACCTTGTACTGCTGCACCACGCATCCACCCTCCTACCTTGTACTGCTGCACCACGCATCCACCCTCCTACCTTGTACTGCTGCACCACGCATCCACCCTCCTACCTTGTACTGCTGCACCACGCGCCTCAGCCTCGCCACCTCCCCCCGCAGAGCCGCCTCTTGCCGCCCCGACTCGCCCGCCCCGGCAGCAGCTTCCTCCGCCTGCCGCTGAAGCTCGTCTGACCGGGACTGATGGGATGTGGGGTGCGTGAGACAGAAAGAGGGTGACAAAGAAGGAGGATGCGAGGCCTCAGGCCGTCAGGCGGAGGGTAGGCGTGGACCAGGTAAGGAGGTAAGGAATGTGGTTCGAGAGGCGCTGCGCAGTCATTCATGGCATGCGGCAAACAGCTACAGGTATTCTAACGAGGACCATGTTTACGGACGGAGGGGAGAGGTTGCGCGGCAGCGCGGGCATGCAACCGTCCAGCCTGCTGCTGCTGCCGTTCCCAAGCAACGGACTGCACCACTAGAACGCGCACAACCCCAGGGTTATAGTCCCCGCCGCCCCCCACCTACCTGGAGCGAGGCAAGCTCAGAGTGAAGGACCTTCTCGCGGGCGAGCGCGTCTGGTGGTGTTGGAAGAGGATGGGAAATCGCAGGTTGAATGACTCAGAAAAGCCAACCCGAATAGAAGACTGTTAGGACGGGGAGGCAGCCTTAGCGCATTGGCCGGACAGGTAGGGAGATGCCTGCAAGTAGGGCTATCAGGCAGCCCACAGCAGCCCACTCACGCTCAAAAATCCAGTGCAAGGGACGTGTTAGGGGTGTTAGGGGTGTGACAGAAGGTGCATGTCCGAAACCCCTGCGCAGCAAAGCAACGCTCAACCAAGCCGGACAGCCCACCACCAGCAAGCACAAAACCCACCCACCCACCAACCAGCCCATGGCGTTGCCATGCCCCGTCACACTCCTTCCTTCCTCCCATCACTACCTGACCCTACCCTACCCTACCATCCAGCGCCGCCTTCATCTCCCGCAGCATGCCCTCGTACAGCTCCTCTGCACGTGCCGCCCCCGCCTCCACGCCCTCCAGCTGGCTGCGTAGGGCGCCCAGCTCAGCAGCGTGGGCCTTGCTGGACTGCGGGGTGGGGTTGGGTGGATGGCGGGGGTTGGGTTGGGTGGATGGGTGGGTGGCGGGGGTTGGGTTGGGTGGATCGGGTTGGATTGGGTTGCGTTGGGTGTCGCGATCGAAGAGAAGACGAACGCTAAGAGGTGGCCTTGCGGTTGACACCAGGTATGGCGCATCTGGACGCATAGGCAGTTGTCAGCGCATGCCCCGCCCTGGGCCACACCTGATCCAGTTGAGCCTGAAGGTCTTGTACCTTGGCTTCGTAGGCCTGCAGTGATCAGGGAACGGAGGCGGTGGGACGGGGGTTGGGGGCTGCATGCTTTGAGGGAGTGACCCAGCATACAAGTAGAATCCTCCTGCTTCCCTTCGCGATGAGGTCTTATGAGGGCCCATGGGGCGCGGCCCTCCACTTTCCGCTCCCCCCTTAACGGCGTTCCTCACACTCTTCACCCCCTCTCCCCCACCTCCACGCTCCCCGCCAGCTGCATGCTGGCCTCCAGCTGCGCCGCCATGTCCCGCAGCAGCGCCTCGGACTGCTGCTGGGAGGACCTGCGGGAGGGAGGAGTCATGAGGGAAACCAGAACGGTCACGGCAGTCACGGCGGTCAGAACTTCAGTGCGGCTTAGCTGTGTTACCCGCCCCCACCTTGTCTTCGCCAGCTCCATAAACACCTGCTTCCTTTGCATTTCAAGCGCTCGTTCCTTTGGGCCATGTACTAGTACTAGCTACCAGCTTGTACCCGGTCCTCACCTTGCCTTCGGATACGTTTGATGTCCTCTACCCCGCCTACAAACTGCCCTCATCTCCCAGGGTCTTCAGTTTATGTTAGATGTCTTCCACCCCGACCCCGACTCCACTACCTTGCCTCCGCCAGCTCGCCCACCACCTCCTCGAACTGCTCCACCGCGCTGCCGTACGCCGCCTCCAACCGCTCCAGCAGCCGCAGACTGTAGCTGCCCGCCGCGTCAGCCCGCTGCAGCTCACCGAGAGCCGCCTCGTACTGCTGCCGGGCGGCCTGCGGGGGCGGGGGGGAGGGAAGGGCAGGGATGGGGTGGGTTACGGTCTTACGAGTTGCCGTGTATCAAGGGGTCGGGATGGAGAAGCAGCCAGGGAGGGAGAAAGGACGGAGGGTTATTTTGCAGGAGGGCGGGTTGGGTTAACAGCAGTAGTAGTGAGCTAGTGACGCGTGGGCAGCTTGCCGGCAATGAGTACCGGTACCTGGGGCATGAGAGGCAATAGGGCACTGGGCAGCAGCACTCAGCACACAGCAGCGCTTCATACACAAAACAATCCTACACCTCCTGCTCCTGGCTCCGCTGCGCCCCCAAGCCACCTGCAGGGAGGCCTCCAGTGCGTCCACGGCATCGCTGCTGGAGCTCTGGGAGCGGGCGGCCTCCGCCAGCTGGGCCTGATGCATGGGTGGGAAGTGAGGAATGGGTTTTAAGGAGGGAGTACCGGTATAAAGGAACAGGTTAAGGAACCAGTGAGGAACTGAAGAAGACAAGGGAACTACTCATGAGAGATGGGGCGTGTTTAGAGGGGGGTGGAACCCGCCCCTGCATCCCCCCCATGCAACCGCTCCGTACCTGCATGGTCGCTAGCTCCCCGGACAGATCCGCCTCGCGGCCCCGAGCCGCCTCCAGCTGCTCCCGCAGCGTCTCCAGGGCGAGCTGGCTGGCGGCTGCCTCAGATCGAGCCGCCTCCGCCTGCGGGTGCGGAGGGTGCATCAACGCCACATCACGACATCAGACATCACCAAAACACCAGTGTGCACGGCATGCAATGCAGCAGCGTGGGGGTTGAGTGTGACACAACTGATACACTGCGTGTGTTGCCAACAATCATGGTACTGGCATGTATACCACTACAAGGAGCAACCAAGAATTAGCGGCAATAACACTATAGGGGAAAGCTGTCGCAAGCCACATCTCATCCCTCATATCCTTCAGCAGTCCCCCCAACCACGTTCCCCAGCAGCACACCTAGCTACCTGCTGCCTCATCTCCTCCAAGCTCGCTTCATACGCCGCCATCCGTTCCGCCTCCACCTCCGCCGCCTCCGCAAGCCTCGCCTCCGCAGCTCGCTGCGCCTCCGTTGCCGCCAACCTCGCTGCCTCCATTTCTGCGAGGTGCCTGGCTTCTAACTCAGCCTGCAACTCTGCTGCTGACAGCTGAGGCGGCCCCAGCTCAGCATCGTACGGTTCCGCAGCAGGTGTAGCGGAGTGGGCGGCCTGCTGGTCAGCCGCCTGCTGCTGTTGCTGGTCTGTTGGGGTAGCGGCGGAGGAGGAGCCGCTACCTGAGACAGTTGTTACGCGGCCACAGCTGTAGGTGACCTGTGTGTGCAGGTGTATGGAGATGGATGTGCGCGGAAGCAAGGGTTGAGGGCAGCAATGGGGTTCTGGGGGATCCGCATGCACTTGTACTGCGGCTCGGACATACCGGTACGACAACAACAGGGTTTGCCTTCAACAGAAATATTAATACAGTGGCAGGCTACCTGCAGCCAACTTGTCGTGGCACCATGCGCACGGCACTCCCCTTTCGGGCATCCACGTCATACCTGCACTTCCTCGTCGTCCGGCTCGAATGAGTCAAGCAACGCCCCGGCATCGATCCACTGGCCTTGCGATGCACGTGGAGCCCCCGGACCCCTGCTGACGCCACCACCGGCGGCCTCCTTGTCCTCAACCTCCTCCTCCCTCTCCTCGCCTTGCCGCTGATACATCGCTTCGAACGCCTCGGAGATCTTCTTGCTCGCGGCATCGGCGGTATCACGCGGCCTGCCATCGTAGGAAGGCGGTGACGGACTAGATGCAGCGTCGAGGGGCGAAGGTGGAGTGACAGAGGGAGGGAGCACGAATGCGGGTGGTTCTAACACAGCGGTTGGCGGTGAAGGCGGCGGCGGCGGTGACATCGGATTGGCACGTTGTGCGGCCTTCTCCACAAGCTTCCGAACGGCCGCCAGGTCATTGCTTTGTTGTACGGCAGCCGTAGCAGCACCGGCCCGGGAAGGGCTGACGGCGCGTGAAGGCGGTGGCGACGATGACGGCACCTCCGTTGCCGGTTGTGGAAGGTCCAGAATGACAGGACCAAAGTTCTGCACTCCCCAGTCGAGGTTGTACAGCAACATCTTGTCGCCTCGCTGCCGACCCATGGGTCCTAACACGCGGTCCATGCCCGGTTCCCACTCCACCGTCACCTCCTCCCTCTGCTGCCCTGCTTGCTGCTGCTGTTCCCCAGCGATAGCCTGGCCTGCCTCCAATCGGAGCATCACCAGCTTGCAAGTTACCGGCCTGTCAAGAGACAGCGCAAAACGGCCGGTCCAAACGCTGCCTGGAGAGGTGGTACCTGTAGCGCCTCCAGCAGGACTACTAGCCATGCTAGCAGCAGCAGCAGTAGCAGCAGCCGCAGCAGCAGATGCGGCGGTAGCGGCGGGGTCCAGGGTCAGAGGTGCTCCTCGAATGGGGTCCCAGCTGCCTAGGTCGGGGCAGGAGCCGGTGAGGACGAGGAGGCTGGGGGTCTGGAAAGGTGTGGCCTGTTGGGGGCTGCTGGTGCTGGTTGGTTGGAGGGAGGAGGCGGAGGAGGCTGCGGATGGCAGGTGGGGGCTGCGGGCGGTTATCTGAACCAGAGTGGTACCTGAAAGCAAGGGAGGGGCAGTGTGTTAAGGGACGATACTGTATTAATCACCAGGGAAGAGGGGTTGGTGGCGCGGACGGCAAAGAAGGGCTTTCCAAAAACGAACTAATGCCCAGCCTCTGGCTTGTCACGAGGCATATGACACCGCATTCAAATCTCTGATCACATAACGGCATCACAGCATGAGCTCTCCAGACCCCTCACCTGGCGGTCTCGGAAACGTCGTCACGGGCGGCCACAGCATGGCCTGGGTGCGGCCGGTGTCCTCGAACTCACACACTACCAAGTAACCAGCGGCGCTACCACTGCTCCCGCTGCCACTGCCCCCGCTGCCGCTGCTGCTGCTGGCGGTAGCTGCATCCCCTCCGCGTTGCTGCTGCTGGCGTGGTGGCAGTGGCGCCAGGTAGAGCATACGGTCGTTGCCGCCCTCCCAGTGGATGGGCAGCCCGTCCTGCAGCAGCACCAGCTGCGCGGACCAGGGATGGAGGCGAGGGAGGGGAGGAAGGAGCTTGCATATGGAGTACAAAGCCGTTGAAGGCAAACACGGTGCGTGAAGAAAGATATGCACGGCAGTGCAGCAATGCACAAATGTACAAGGAGACATGGCCCAGACCCACCACAATGGCAGCATGGCCAACACCCCTTACCGTAACCCAACATCCGCTCAAGCCACCACCCCTGTAGTCGGATCTACCGGTACCGCGACAACCCACCTTTGCAGCCAGCGGCGTGTCCGTGGGTAAGACCAGCTCCGCGGTGTGGGCGGTGCCGCTGCTGCCGTACTCCAGTCGTACACCGCGTTGCGGCTCCCAGCCGCCCAGCAGCGAGTGGCCGCCCACCAGCACCAGCTGCTGACCTGAGGGAGGGGTGTTGGGGCCGGGTTGGGCGGTACGTACATGAATACGCCAATGGATGGCTTTAGGTACGGTAGCAATTGAAACGTCAGCGATACAGGACGACCTACCGGGCGGCAGAGGTCCCTTTGGAACCACCAGTGTAACCTTCACACCGTTGGCGATGCCGCCGTTGCTGCTACCAGCATTGCTGGCGTCGCCGTCGGCGCCGGGAGAAGGGTTGCTTGCATGGGTCACCTGCAAATGGCCAGCAAAGGAACGTATGCGAATGACAAGCACAAAGTGCCGGTCAAGGGCCATGGCACTTTGTACGGTTCCATTGCGTTTTTGTACGGCTGTTGTACGACGCTACGGGCTGTAGTACAAGACTTACTAGGGCAGGTGTGGTACTCACCACGCCATTCCGGGCGCGAAGGAAAGCAGCATAGTGCCCACTTGACGTGAAGTGGTGGGCGCGGCAGGTTGAGAGGGCATCCCTTGCCCTGCTGCCGCTGGCCTCAAGTGCAGCGACAGTAGGAGCTTTGGAGTCGATAGGGAATGTTGCAGTAGCCGTTAGCACCTTTCTCAGGTCGGGACTTCAGGGGTTCGAGACAGTTGCTAATACTATTTCATACCTTCATGAATTTGCTTCCTGCGGCCGCTTCTGCTTGCGCGTCGAACGCTCGAAGCGCGTGGATGCAACGACGGGACCCATGGTGCTGGCGAGAGGCGCCATGCAGCGAGGCCGATGGCTCCATTAGAGGCAGCCATACAGAATTAACAATCAAGGGCTGGCAGCTGGTTTGGCGGAGGCAACGGCAGTAACTTAAACAGGTTTGCCGAGTCGTCTTACAGCACGGTCTTACAGGGTCATCCGTTGATTCGTTGTTCACACAAGCAAGCATTTAGACGTATGCGATGCGAGGCGTAGCACGGGCATGCGTGTCGCAAACAGTAAGGAACCGCTTGCTAGTAGCAGCAGTACGACCTACCATCTACGGTTGAGGTTGACAAAATCCCGGCCTTCGTTATGTGCAGTGCACCGCAACAGCTAAAGACTAATACTGACTGTAATTTCTCGTTGTCAACGAGAGGACTGATCTCTGCTGATGAATTACTGTCATACTTCGTGCCAAAGTATGCTTGCACCCAAGCTCACGGTCTAAGCACAAATCCCGGCCGAAGCACAGATGGAAAAACTCATAGCAACTTCCTGGGAAGATAGCTACATTTTGTCTATGCGCATTAAAGGTTGTCAGTTGACAACGTGACCGCATGCGGTCTTTGGGCAACTGCGACTCCTAGACGGCATTTCAAAACGTCTCGTGTATTACAACTATAATACTGAACTGGAACATTATAGTATCTTTCCTGCAAAAACCATACTAAGTACCCGTCCCCAAATTAAGATAGCTTTAGCAAGTGCTTTTGCAATAGTTCATGTGGCGTATTAGACTTTGTGAACATTTAAATTAACACGGATTGAGACGAAATGCTCCTTTCTGCTGGTCGCGGCTGCGCTCTTGCGGCGTTCGGACGTGTGCTTCTCCCTATTGCTGTCCGGCCGCAGAGCGTAAGTCCAAACCTAAATGCAAATACATGCCTTTCACTCGCCTTTGCCACTTTTGCAATGTTTGCAAGATGGTCCTCGCACACATGCGGGCGGTCATGGTGCGTTCCGAACGCGTGCCTCTATCTTAGCAGTGCCAAGTTCGAGCTGGCGTTCCAAGAGGAATCTCCAGTAGCACTTCCCCGTCAGTAATAGCCCGCGATGAAGAACCAGCCGGCTCCGGCCCCTCTTCCATCGCGTCATCGACATCCAACTCATCACCTGGACCGCCTCGCAGTAAAGCAGCCACAGCAGCCCCTTTAGCACCCGCGCCAGCAACACCAAACGGCTCGCGGGAAACACATACGGCGCTGTCACCACGCTCAAAGCAGCGGAGGTCCAGTGCCTCTCTGCCGTCCACAACTCGACCAGGCCCTCCAAGCCCACCCGAAGGGCCACCCCAACCGCTAGCATCAACACCCGCATCAGCTGTACGGCAGTACAACACCCGTACTTCTCCTCCCTCTCCGCACCGCTCCTCCTCCTCCTCACCGGCCCCATCCACACCCACGCCGACGTCCTCCACGCCCCCTACCACGTCCTCCTCCTCCTCACCACCAGCAGCTGCAGCGCATTCGTCCGCATCATATGCCGACCAGGCCGCCTCCTCCCGCCAGCAGCTAGCCCAGCAGCTGTCGGCTCGCCAGCAGCAGCAGCTGGAGACCTACCTGGATTACATGCTGGAGGTCAACCAAAGCATGAACCTGACGGGTGAGTGGAGGTAGAGGCGGGTAGGGAGGGGCGGTGAAAGCGGCGAGCCGTGGTCAAGCATGGCCCAAGCAGGCCATGCAAGTGGAGCTTGCAAAGGGACCGAGCCCAGTTTGGCCTTCACAGTGAGAGACCGCTATCCACTGGTCCATTGGTCGTTGGCATCACCGCTGTCATATTGGTCGTTGGCATGCTGCTATGCCTTCCAATTTCCTCCCCATGCTGCCCTCCCACGTTCCGTTCTCTCTCACGCATTCCCCGCCCAGCTGCCACCCTCGTTTATAACATGGAGTTTTGTCTTCACCGTCCTCCGCCTTCCCCCTACCGATAGTTTTAGCTTGTGACCTCCTACCCCCCCCCTCTCCACCCTCTTCCTCCCTCCCTCCCTCCAGCCGTGCGAGACAAGGGAGAGGCCTGGGAGCGGCACGTGGTGGACTCCCTGGCGCTGCTGCCGCTCATCGAGCGACACGCGCAGCTGCCGGCAGCCCTGCCGCAGCAGCAGCACAGCAGCAGGAGCAATGGGCATGCCAGCAGCAGCAGCGGTGGGAGTGGCAGCGCGGGAAGTGGCTTGGACGGCTTGCGGGTCATTGATGTGGGCACGGGGGCGGGGCTGCCGGGGATGGTGCTGGCGGCGGTGCGGCCGCAGTGGAAGGTGCGTGCGGGGGGCGCAACGCACGGGGAGCGATGTGATCACCTGTTGCTGCTGCTGTTAGTAGTGACATGTTGGGGAAGCTGGAGGGGGGTACAGTGGACGGCCCGAGTGGCAGGATGGGCTGCTCAGAGCATAGGAAAGTTGAGTTGCAAGTTGTGTGGGCCGTTGAACGCTGTTTGGCGCTTTACCATCGCACATATCCATGAGCATACATACAGGCCCCTTTCACGTTTGCCTGTCTTTCCTCCATGCGTTCCAAACTTCCAATGCACTCTCAGGCGTTACTCGCGTTGGGACGTTCCCATAAGTAGGACTGCCACCCAGTCAATTAGGGCCCCAACACGCCTCCTTCCCTCCTCACCCAACCCCGCTTTACCCTCTTTTCCTCTCCCTCACCCCCCTGAGCAGGTAACGCTTCTGGACTCGCTCCGCAAGCGCTGCGACTTCCTGCGGGAGGCTGCTGAGCGGGCGGGGCTGAGCAATGTGGAGGTGGTGTGGTGCCGAGCGGAGGAGGGCGGCCGCCGACCCGAGCTGCGGGAGGTGGGCTGGGCCGCTGGGGAGGGAGGCCGGGGTGGCAGGAAGTCCGTGCTTGTCCTTGTCTTCTTCCATGTTGCTTGGAAGCATGTGCGCTGGTCTGACAACCGTCCTCATCTTGTACTGATTGTTACCCGTTTCCTGCTGCCTCTCCTGCTGCTGCCCCTCCTGCTGCCCCTCCAGGCCTACGACGTGGCGGTTGCCCGGGCGGTTGCCGAGGCGCGGGTGCTGGCGGAGCTGTGCCTGCCCTTCGTGCGGGTGGGGGGGCTGTGGGTGGCGGCCAAGGGACCCAATCCCGAGGTACGGCAGTACGGGCAAATGGGAAATACGACAGTAGGCAGTGCAGCATGTAGTGATAGCCGGATCATGAGGATAGCGTATGTGGGCTGCCTCTGGTGTGGCGGTGATATTAGCAATGGGACCAGTGGAGCGCCTTTTTCTTGCCCAGTATGCCTTTCTGGCTTGCAATTGCTACACGCGAATGCAAACAGAAGGAGAGGGACACCAACCTTTAGTAGCCTGCGCGTCTCTCTCCCTCCCAAGCCTCTTCCAAACCGCCAATTCTCCCCCTCCTATGCTTCAGGCCGAGGCTGCTGCCGCCGCATCTGCAGTACGGCAGCTCGGCGGGTCTCCCTTGAAGGTCCGCTGGTTCGCCGCTGGGTGTCCTGTCTGGTGATGTCATTGGCAATCTGTTAGTGCCGCTGCACGCTTCACAGTACCTCCGCTTCACAACCTGCGTAAGCAGCTACAGCAGCCTTTTGCAAGGCGCAACCCAGAACCCACCCATGGCAACCCTCATCTGCTGCCACCGCCTGCTGCTTCTGCTGCCTGCTCCCCTCCTGCCTTGTCACACCTTTAGTACTGCCGGCGGTTTCTTCCTCTTTACCCACCCCCACCTCTTTTGCTGCCACCTGCTGCTGCTGCCACCTGCCGCCTCCCCGCCCCCCTGCCGTACAGGTGCTGCCTGTGGATTCGTACTCCGGCGAGGGCCAGCGCACCGCCCTGCTGTCCACCAAGAGGGGCCCCACACCCGCCAGGTTCCCGCGGCACCCGGGGGTTCCCAGCAAGAAGCCGCTGTAGGGTAATAGTGAGGAACAATGGGGAAGAGCGGTAGGTAGAGGCGGACAGGAGGAGCGGCCTGGGAGCTTGATAAGGCCCATACTGCGGATTGGGTCGGGCTGGGATTGGAGGGCCACAACATTATTTTTGGGAGTGGGCATGGAGTGGGGTGAGAGGAGTGATGGGCACGAATGGAGGTGCTACGGCGTTTGGCCTACAGGCGGGCGGTGTCGGCTGCGTAATACCTGGGTTGCGATGTTGGCTACGTAGTAAACTAGTAGCTTCAGTACTGGATTGGCTGGATAGCAACAGCGAGCGTGTCGTACAAGGGCTGTTCGCTTGGGGTGTGACCCATGGGTCAGTGCGCTTGTGACATGGAGCGCTTGTTAGGGACGCCTTCCCATCCATGTACAGTGTACGAGCATGTGTACGATGACGTACGGCAACGGCAATAACCTCGGCGCCAGTACTCCTGCAACAACACTGCCGTACTCGTGCTCCCGCAATCAGTAAGTTGATGACGCTAGTAGCTGGTGTGATCATTCGTACGAGCAACGTGTACAACAACGATGTGCGTCAGTTGGTGATGGGCTGCCCGGAGCACCTGGGCGTGCAACAGGCGGCAGTCAAAGATGCTACCTGCTGGCACAACACACAACAATGTTGGCGCCGTTCCTTTGAGGAATCTGTCGGTTCGGATGGCTACCGTTCTTCAGCTTGGGGGTGTGTTTGAGGAACGTGCTGTGTTGCATGCGGCTTTTATTCGGGAGGCCCTGGGGTTACCTGCTACCCAGCAGCTTCCTGAGGGTGTCTTGGATGGCCTTCGTGATTCTTTCCAGCGTCTTTGGTCGATTCGTTGGGAGAATGGTTTCAAGGAAGCGTTTTGGCGTCTTTCTATTGATGGGGTTCCCTTGCTGGGGAATTCTCATATGTCTAGGGCTCGTCCGGAATGTTGTGGTTGTGGGTCCGTTGTCTTGGGGGTGTCTCCGCGGTTGCATTTTTTCTGGGCTTGTCCTGTTGCTCGTGCTGTGGTTGAGCAGCTTGAGGTCACGCTGGGTATTGCGGTTCCTCGGGCTGCCTTGTGGTTGGCGTTGCCTCCTTCGGGCGTGCAGCAGTGCGTTTGGGATGTTGTTGTTTTGGCTGCTTTGTCCGCTATGGAGGAGGGTCGGCGGTTGTTACGGGCTCGTGTACGTGAGTCTGGTTCTGCGGGTGTTGTGCCTGGGCTTGCTGCTGTGGTGGCCCTGTCTGCTGTTTCCTGGTTCTGGGGTCAGCTTCGGGGTTTTGCTTGTTTGGGTGTTCCCCGTCGGGGATGGGCTGGGGTTGGCCCTTCTCATCCTTTCTTACGTATTGTTGGCGGGCGGTTTTCTGTGGGCCGTTGAGCGTCCTGTTTTTTGGCCCTGATGCCTTTGGGGTGGTGTGTTCGTGGCTTCCGGTTTGGGTTGTCTTATGCCCTAGATGAAGTTTGTCGAGGTTTGCTGAGGGGCCTTTTCTTGGCTTCTACCCTCTTGTTTCCCTCCTGAGGTTTCTTTTAGGGCTATGTCTCCCATCTTGTTGGCCTGTTGTGGTGCTGTCTCTACGGTTTGTTCCGTTTCTTTTGCAATGTAGGGTTGGGTTCATCACCCGTGTTCCCTTTTAGGGCACCATTGTAACGATCATTCATTCACACAACAGCCGCCTATCAACATGTCCTTCCCTCCTCAGGCCTCACTCAACAACTGCTGCGCTTTCCTCATCTTACAGCTCGGAGAGGCTCTGCTCGGACCTTGGAGGCCATACTCTGCTGCTGATGCAGAGCCATATACACCGGCAGAACTGGCGATGGCAGGCAGCATCCGAGACGGCGTACATTTGCTCTACTATCCCCAATACCCGGTGTTGTCATCCACTTCGATCGGTCCTCCTCCCCAACGCCTGAACTAGGTTTTCGTGTTCGTCATCCTTCCTGAAGAAACCTCTCAAATGCCTGAAGCCTCAAGTCTACCCTACAGCAGCGTTCCTCAAGAGAAAAGCAAGCAGCCACACTCTTTCCTCCGCCATAGCTACTGCAGTTTGCAGCCCCAAGCGCCCAGGCCAGTCAGCAGGTCCATCCTCAACGCCAATTGGAGCGGGTAATGACGCGTGGCGGATCGTGTTCGTACGACATGAAATAACCGCTGCTTCCGTCGTTGTCGTTACTGCTGTCAACTGTCGTACGCCCCCCTCGCTGCTGCTGCTGCTGCTGCTGTTGCAATGCCGTAAGCTGCTGTTCCATTTCGTCTAGTTTGGCTTCCAGCCAGGAGATCTGCAACAAGGCCAACGACCAGTTCGTTAACAGCAGGCACATCACCGCGTCATGTCGTGTCCTGACAAATGATGAACATCGCACTACGTCCCGATACGCCTTGTTGTAGGGAGTAGGATGCGGGAATGCATACACATAATGGCTTGGGCGTACAGAGGAACTCATGGGCCATGACGCCAGCGCAGACCCCACTCCAGACTCCACCCACCGGTACCACCTCACTAGCTGCATCCATTAATCACCCAACCCAGGGCGAGGACATCCAAGACGCATTAACGACGGCAGGGACGGCAGCGACGGGCTCGACGGCACCGCCGGCACCGCCACCATTTTGCGGGTCAGCCATTATTGCTATGCCTAAAGTTATAAACTATACTTAATAAACAACAAGATAGTACCTATGAGTATCACAACACGGCGGAATAGCCGTGACACAATACTGAGAATGCATATAGCCAAAATTTATCGTACCTCGTCCAAGAAACCGCCTTTTCGTACCGAAACACCTACGCTTCCCAGCCAGGCGCTCCTACCCTCTGCCACATCCAAGCCCGGCATCGCAAGACCTCGCCCCGGCCCCCTCCCACCCCCACCATGGTGGAGCCTTGTCACACGGGTGGCACCTGCCTCCTTACCTTCCTCACATGTGGTTCAGTCTCACCCTGACCCGCCCCCTCTTTTACCTGTTGCTCGAACTCCTCCCGCTGCCTGCCCAGCTCCCAGCCCAGCTCCTCCACCTCCTGCCGAGCGGCCAGCTCGCCCGCCTGAGCCGCCTCCAGCTCCTAATCAGGCAACGCCGCCAGGGTTCCAGGCCACAGTGCACAACATGTCATATCGCGAGGATGTGGTTGGAGCTTTAGTAATGGCACAGAACCAGAGAATCCTACCGCTTTTGCCACCCTGCAGAGCCCTCCGTGCATGCCGCTGCCCCGCCTGCAGTACAGGTACTTACCGCCTGCCGTCCCCCTCCCTACATCTCCCGTTCCCCCCACCTGCACGAGCTCCCCCATGCCGCCCCTCAGCGCCGCCACCTCCTCCCGCAGCCCCCGCTCCGCCCGCCGGCTGGCGGCAAGCTCGGTCTCCAGGGACTGACAGCGCCGCGACTTGGCGGTGACGGCCTGGTGACGGGTTGGGGGTAGGGGGAAGGAAGATGGCAGATAGATAACAAGGCAGATGGGCCTTACCGACGGACAGAAGCCCTTACACCAGGGCAATTCCACGGCACGACAAGACGTTCAACGGGTTAAGGAGGCAACCAAGCGAAGGCCCCCCTCCTTCACCACGTGGTCCCTCATCGCGCTCACACCGCCGCACCCGCACCTGCCGCATGAGCCCAATCTCGCGCTGCGCCGCATCCAGTTGCCGTACAACCTCCTGGCTGGCGTCCTCGTACTCAACCGGAACCGTAACCACTGCCGTACAGCCGGCCCCCGTGGCTCCCCAACGGCACACGAAGATGTACATCATGTCCTGCTGCTGCTGCTGCTGCTGCTGTGGCGAGGCCGCGGTGACACCCGCGCCGTTACCATTAGACCTCTGTGACGCAGAAGAGGCTGTGTTAGCGCCACCGTTACTGCTGCTGCCGCTACTGATGGTACTGCTGATGATTTTGGCAGCGCCTTTAGTGTGGTGCGACGGTTGCGGGACCGGGGCTGGGGCCGGGGGCGGTGCTGTGAGGACACGGTTGGCGGTGCCCGGCTCCCAGAGGACCGCCTGGCCGTCCGGATTGCAGATGACCACCTGCATGGTGCGACGGCGATGCGTCAGCCGGTTGCGGGAGTGGTGAGATTTTCGTTCCGCGTTCTATCTATCTCTGGGTGCTACCTCCCATGCGCTGCTCTGGTAGGCGTGGTCTTTGCGGCATCTACTGGAGCCACCAGGGGGCCACCCCGTCCATCTTGCCACCACAACAGCGGGACCCAACAGTATGACCCACCCTCTTCCCAAAGGCCCTACACACAGCTACCCCGCCCCTCCTCCGCCCCCACCTTGGCCTCCACTTCGGCCTCCAGCGGCAGCTCCACTCGACGAGTCCAGTAGCCCCCAACCTGCAGGGGGTAGGGAGGAGAGTAGGATAGGCAGTACTGCTAGTTGAAAGTCTGGAAGCGGCACCGACATATATACTGTTCCCTATGCATCTCTACCGCACGCCCGCCGCCACCCTCTCCTCGCCACCCCACCTCACTGCCGCATCAACCGCAACCCCGCCGCCCCCACCTTGACTCCTCGTCAGTTTTTTTATTCTTACCACCCTTGACTCCTTCCCCACTCCCCTCCCCCACCTGCCGCATCAGCCGCACTCCCGCCTCCGGCCTCCAGCCGCCCAGCTCCTCCGCGCTGCCCACCAGCACCGGCACCTGCCGCGGCTCCAGCCGCTGCCCCGCCAGGAGCACCACGAACTTGGCCAACACGCGCCGATCGCCTGCCGGCAGGGGTGAGCCGGCAGGGGAGGAGGTAAAGGGGCTGTCCTGCCCTATAGGATATATATAGCACCGGCGTTATCGTAGTAGGCGTGCAAGCAGGGAGGGTGAGAGAGAAAGTGAGAAGGTGCCAGGAGCGGTGGGCGCGGAGGGGGGCCGCATGTATACCGATATGAGGCTGATGTAAAGGGCAGATGTCAGGGAGTCTATAAATGTGGGCAAATGGGGGCAAAAGAGGCGGAGACATCCCATCGCACCTCATGGAGGTCTGCGACGTACCGTACCTGCATACCGTACACACATGACAAAGTACACATACACCTTCATTGCCGTACATACGCTACCTGGTTGCCTAGCGGGGAGCACGATGGGCGTTCGCAGAACTTGCGTTGCCTCTGGGACGTCGAAGTGGCAGGTGATCAGGTAATCGGGCGTTGGAACAGCAGCCGCCAGCTGCACTTGTCCGGGAGTTGAAGAGGGCGACGATGTTGACATTGTTGTCAATGACGACGATGACAAAGACGACGTTGCATCCTGGTGCTGCTGCTGCCGGCGCCGCTGCTGGGGACGCCTGAACGCAGCTCCGCCGCCATCGCTGCTGCTGGCGCTGCTTGTGTGGTCATCCTCGAATGACGTGATGGCAACAGGCAGCAACACGATGTCCCGTGGGTCACCTTGCTCCGTGTGCACCGGCACTCCATCCTCCTTCAGCACCAACTGCGTGTGCATGGGCATGTACGGAAGGTGCGGATACGGCATACGGGGTACACCGTGTTAGGGGCTGCTGGGTTCACCGGCTGTGCCGCATACGGCATGCATGCACTGTCTGGGCCGCCAATGCACCCCTGCGGTCGTCCACCGAACCAGCTCACCTGCGTTATCCACGCCGCTACTTCCTCACGCCCCCTTCGCACCACCTTCCTACCCCTCTTATGCACATGTCACATGAACAACACGGGTCTCTTAAAGCCTTTTTTCACCATTGTGGTCGAAACGCCATTCAGCTACCTTTTGTTCTTAGCCAATCTACCCCTCCCAGCCCCGTTCACCTTGCTCCTCTTTGCCCTCGCTCCCTTGCCCCTTCCCTCCCTCCCTCCCTCCCTCCTCCTCACCCTGGCCTGCACTACCCTGCTGGTGGGCAGCCGTACAAGCGCCTCATGTTGGTGCCCCGGCCGCCACTCCAGCGGCACCGCACGAGCCGCGTCCCAGCCCCCCAGCTCCCGCGTGCCGCCGCTGAGGAAGAGCTGCTGGCCGGGGCGAGTGGGATGGTACGGCACCACGATCCTGGTGCGAGGAGGTGGTGCGCCAGGGAGGGAGGGATAGGAGAGCAGAGGCAGGCACGTAGGAAAAAGTAGGCAGCCCGGCGGGCGGTGGAGTAAAGCAATGCAGTACAAATGGACTTCGCAGAAATCCATTGGCTTAGCAGTTAATAGTTACAAACAGGAAGTTGTCAGAAGCTGTACATGCCGGTGCTATACACTGTGTCGTACACACCTGCAGGTCACCATCGCCGCATCGGAATCGCTATCCACTTCGGACTCCGCTGTCATGCGCAGATGGCTGCTGGTGCTGTCGGTGCTGATGCTGTGGTGGTCGGTGGCATCCTGGCTTCCATTGATGAGCTCCAAGCCACTGGTCAAAACATCCGCATGCAGATCCATTGGGAAGGCCTACATGCATTGGCAGCATGCATGGGGTCTCAGAAGGAACAGCATCGCATATGGCATTGGGCCAAAGTCCTCCTGTTGCCATGTGGAACCCCGTTGGAACGAAAGCGCTAGCCATGCCCGAAGTCAGGAAGACCAACCATCGAACGCCTTCCCTGGAAAACCCACCGAATCAGCGACGGCGGCGGCTCGTGCGGCTTTCCGGGGCGCATGCAAAGCCGGCCGGATTGCTGCAATGCATGCACAGGGCAATGGTGAAACCGCAAGTCAGCGGTCTGGATCAAGAGACAAGTGACAAGAATGTGAGGAACGGAGGTAGCAGGAGAGCACGCGGGCGCTGAAACGAGGTTTCTGAGCCCCCTGAAAACACCGCCGTACTGGCACGCAACCTGCCCCATCAGCGGGTGTCGAGCATGTGTCGCACAGTCAACCCGGTCAAAGCCTTACCGTGGATACAAGGAGGCTGGTGAGCGGCAGGCGTCCGACGGGCAACGCTGCTAGGCAGCAATCTGGGTGGTTTGAGGACAGAGGAGAACCCGTTACAAGCAAGGAAGCGAGGACTACTGACACGGCGTGACCATATCGACACTGGAATGGGAGCTGCCGAAATTCCGTGCCCGTCAGTGTCATGCAGAGATGCAGGATCGTGCCTACGGTGCTGCTCCTTCCGTGCTAGACGAGCCGTACATATAGCCGTACCCAGGGTAGTACAGTACGGCATGCGCGCGGCACGTACGAAGCAGGATGGCAGCCCTAGCCCGGTTTAGCGCACAGCGTTCGCCGGGCGCAATACAAGCGGATTTTCCAGACTCCCACCCGTCTTCCCTTCCTGGGGCAGTCACAGCGCTGTAACAGTCACCCGTGCAAGTGCGTGCCCCGCATGCGGGTAGCATGCTGCGGCCTGCGTTACCTGGGCCCCCGATGCAGCATGATCCTCGTGAGGAAAGGCAACAGAGGGAGTCAACGCTCGCTGAGAGCAACAGATGCCTTTGAGGCCACCAACGGCCTGGATGGAACGGGCGATGGGGCATTCGCACAAGTCAACAAGCAATCGTGAGATGTTTGCGGTCAAACCTAGCCGCTTTCAACACTTATGGGTCCTTAAAACGCGCCTACTGACAACCGACGTTGCGCCTGGGGCACACCGCGATGCAATCTGGAAAGCTCTATGCTGTAAAGTATAAACAATACGGCATAAGTCTTACAGGCTTGGCTTAATTGACTTGCCCTAGCAGGCAGGGGTTGGAGGTCTAGACGTAGCAACCACCCAGGACTTCAACTGGTAAGCGCTGCTGCTGAAAGCTGCGGCGCTGTGTAGCATCAGATACATCGAACACTCGCACCTCCGTTGTGCCTGTATGGGACACATCCTCGCAAATCGTCAATTCCTCCAACCGTGCTCCTGCCGTACGGAGACGTTCCAGGCTGTTTGAGGACGGCGAACACTTGAATGCAATTATGCTCTGTATGTTTTGCCGTTAAACTAAAAGGCGAATAGCTGGACTGCTCTGGGTGCATCTTGTCGGCCCGTCGTCGACCCTCGCTCGCTCGCCTCGTATAGCTACTATATGACCACTGGCCTCGTTGCCAACGCGCTACCTTTCTTTACGTCCAGCTATACTAATTGTAAAATTAAATACATGCGGACTTTGCGAAATAGCCAAGTCGCTAAAGGTGAGACCCTGGGAATGGCCTGCGTTGGACATGCAAGCCGCTGAGCACTGAGCATTACAACGTAAATAAGATGGGGTGCGAAATTACCTTTGCGAACTCAGCTGGCAGTGAGTCTCAGCTGCTATGCTTGCATGCACGTCTGACACCATATGCCCGATGACATCTCACAAGCTTCGGGGATCTGTAGTTTATTGTATATTGTATCGGTAACCTACCATACCACGCCATGAGGGAATGCCTGTCGATTCGTCTTCTTGACTCCTCGTAAGCACCTATTAGGTACTATTTGAGCTTTATCACGGAGACCACTCCAGCCTAACCTGAAGGCGTCCAAATTCACACCACGTTCAACTGTCCAGTCGAGTGCCTGCAAGGTAGGGAAGCGGCCGACACTGCGAAAGTCATATCCATGGCAAGGCTAGCATGCAACCGCTTGCTGCAACATAGCTAGAACATCAGAGGACCTTACCACCAGCATCCTAGTATCGTTGTTGGCCCTCCTTCAACCCCTTCACGCTAACCCCAGCCTCGATGCATGTAGTTAAGCGTTACAAGCACCGTGGTTATGACAGACCGAGCCCTCATATAACGACGTCCCCATTAGCTCGTACAGTCATCTGAAGTGCCCCCCTCCCTGCCGACCCCTCTTGCAACGCCACAGCTGTCCACGAAGTACTGGAGCCCCTACATGTGGCGGCAGGCCTCCTGAACAGGTCTCCTAAGCAGGTCTCCTCGAGACAACAAGTGCTATTCCTCATAGGACAAAGATGACAATGCCATCAGCGCCGTACTACACAGCCCGGCGCATGCGCATGCTGCAACCCCAGCCTCACATAAGAACCAACATACACGGCGCTGCCCCATGCCGACCCATGGGTCATCACCAGCGCCCATGGCCAGTTCCAGTCATCGCTGCGTCGGCAGCAGCGGCCTCCACCCTCGTTCTCGCCGAGCCCCCAGTCAAGGGCAGCAGCGGTAACAACGCTAACGGCCATGCCTCTAACAGCAGCCATCCACGCGACAAGACAGGAGCTGCTAACGGCAACGGCCGCGGTTCGCCACCACTCAACGGGAGCAGCACCAGCAACAACAGGACCAGTGCCCTCGCCTCCTCCCCTGCCGTACAAGTGCATGTGGTAGTTCCCCGCTGTACCACCGTGCCCGGAGAAAGGCTGGTGCTGGTGGGGGAGTGTGAGGCCCTTGGACGCTGGGACCCAGCCCGCGGCGTGCCATTGCGCTGGTCCTCTGGCCACATGCACACCGCCTCCTTTAAGCTGCCACTCGAACACGTCCTGCAGACGACCCATGGGTCAGCAAGAGACCAACCGGCCCATGGTACACCGTTGACGTTGCGTGCAAAGCTGGTGCTAGTGCAGGGCTACGACCACTATCTCCAGCAACAGCAGGGAGACGGCAAGAATGGGAAGGAGAAGCACGGCCACTCCGGAAAGCATCTGGGCCCGGTTAGCTTTACTTGGGAGCCTGGGCATGACAGGTCTATCGTACTGCAGCCGGCTTCATCACCTCCTTCCTCCTCTTCCTCCTCGGCGGGTATGGCTGAGGGTGCCAGCAGCAGAATCAGCGCTGACGGCGCACGGTCCGCCGCCGCTGGGACGACAGCTACACGGGCAGCAGCTACAGCTGCAGCTGTAGCATCAACGCGTCATGATTACATGGTGGTGTGCCACTGGATGCACACGGAAGCGACGTCGGTGCTAGTGCGGGAGGTGCCGGGAGAGGTGCTGGTGAGCTGCTGGGGATATATTGGTGTTGTGGTATGTTGTTACCGTTAGAGGTGTAGGGAGGTCGTCCTGGCAAGCTGCCGTACTACCAATCCCAAACAGTACGCATGCGAATGACGGCGCAACTTCGGCACCTTGGGAACACATGTATGCATATGACTCACTGGGGTCACCGTACGTCGACGTCCCATGCCTGCAAACCACGCCTTCCCTTCCTGCATTCCCATCTCAATATTGGGTATTTCCCTGGCCCCTGTCCTAACTCCCTGCCCTCGCCGCTTCCCAACCCCTGCTTCATCCCGCTCCTCGGCAGGTCCTGGAGCAGCAGCTTCAAGAGGCGCTCGAGGAGCTGAGGGCTGCACGCACCGCCGCAACGGCCAGCCAGGAACGACTGCACAGGATGGCGCAGGTAGGTGGGGTGAACCCTTGTTGACCCTTTTGGGATAGATCAACAGAGCCTTGTGAACCCTTTCTCGCATGTGCACCATGGGTAGAAGCGGCTTTACTAGCGACGATTAAATGCATATTATAGCCTTCAAATCTGCTCTGTGTGAGGGGTGCATGCATGCAGGATCTTGCGAGTTCGGAGCGCGCGGCTCGGCAGGGGGCGGAGCAGCTGGCCGAGTTGCAGGTGAGGGGAGAGGAGGGGAGGAGAAGAGGGGAAAGTTGTGGGAGAAAGGGGAGAGGAAAAGGAAAAGGAAACAGGGAAAGGAGAAACTGGAAGCAAGGGATGTTATTAGGAGGAACACGGAGGGAAACGGTTGGTTTGGATATGAACTCGCCAGGGGATTACTGACGAGAAAACCTAAAGGGTTTGAGCTAGGACGGAGACATAAATGAAGTAGTGTGTGTCGTATCAACGTAGGGCGGGGTGGCGAGGTTGGCCGTGCGACAGGTGGATGTCGCACGCAGCAGCCCGTGCATGTAGAACAGCACTAGGGACCCCCCGCCACACCCGCCCACTGCCACACACACCGTCGCCTCCAACTCCCTCTCCCCGCACCTGGCCCGCACCTGTTACTGCACGGCAACTGTTCCCAACCCTGCGACCCCTGTTGCCCCATGCACCAGGCCAAGCACAGCGCCATGACCGCAGAGCTCTCCGAGGCTCGTCGCCAGGCCCGCGCCGCCGCCGCCGAGGCCTCCGCCGCCGCTGCCGCCGCCGCCAGCGCCGCGCAGGCAAGCAGCGAGGCGGTTGCGGCGGTGGAGGAGCGCGTGTCGCAGCGCTACGAGGCACGCATGGCGGAGCTCAAGCAGCAGCTGGAGGTGCGTGAGTGGTTTTACGGCAGATTGGGCGCTGGTATGCATATATGCATGGATGGATGCAAGGAATGAATGTGACAAGCACAATGTTTTGCCAATGGCTATGACAGTCCCCCCTACCACGTCTTGACCACTGCCTTCCTGTCCTGCCTGGCTACGAGGTATACGCACGCGCCTGCCTCTCTAGCCATGTATTATCTTGGGTGCTCGCTGCCTAAGGCTTTATCATCGAAACCCCTCCCCACTCCCACTACCCCACACACTTTGGGTATCCTTCTTTTCCCCACTCCCACCCAGGGTGTCAAGGGGCAGTATGCTTCGGAGGTTTCCTCCCTGAGGCAGCGCCTGGACGCCAGCCGCGCGGCGGAGGCGGAGGCGCAGCAGGTGGTGGCGGGGCTGCGCGAGGTGGTGCAGCAGGACGTGGCCAGGCTGCGAACGGAGCTGGCAGCGGTGAGGGGGGAATCGGGCGGGTGTGGGTATCTATGCTAGGACACGGCGGGTAGTAGGCAGGAAGCTAGGGCAGCGGGTAGTTGGGAGGGCGTAGGGCGGAATAGGATGTAGCAGGTTCGGTGCCTTGGCGGGTAAGGTGCCTTAATTGTGTGCTTTTGATGCTCAGCTTTTGTATACCCGTGGTAGCATCGTGCCCTAGTACCCCCACCGTCCTGGTGTCTCCCGCCCTAATAACGTTCCCTCCTCCCCTCCCTCCCGCGCGCATGGCCACGTGCCCATCCAGCTTGTCTCTGACTACATGGCTGCTCGGCAGCAGCTGCAGGAGCAGTCCCAGCAGCTGGAGGCGAGCGAGAAGCTGAGGGTGCAGCAGGTGGGGTTGGCGAGCGGGCGGGCGATGGTTACTTGGTTAGTTAGGGTGTCGGCGCCTGGGAGTGATGGATGGGGCGAACACCGAGTGAGCCAAGTCGCTCAAGGGAACATCGGTGTTTATGGGTAAACAAGTCACGGGGGAGGGACAACGGATTGCATTGGGCGCTACTTTCTCCCTCTGCCCATCCCCAGCCCCGGCGGCCCTATGTTTGTTGTTTTGGACCATTGCATATTCCGCGACCCATGGGTCACGTTCGCAGATCGACGGGCTGTCTTCCGAGATCCGGGATCTGGCTAGCAAGTACGGCAGCGCGCAGGCCACCATAGCGGAGCAGCAGCGAATGCTGGAGGAGTTGCAGGTGCGGGGGCGGGGGTAAGGGAGAGGAGCCATGCGGGGGTGGGGGCGGAATGTGAAGGCGCAAGGTAACGAATGAACACTAGTAGACCGCATGCATATTTTGGGGCTCTGGCGCAAGCGCATACATACGGGGTCAAAGCGCAGAAGCAACGGAGGAGCAGGGAACCATGCATGCGTCCAATGTTTAGGCCGGGGTTTACGTTTGCGAACAAAGTGCGTGAAACTGGCCCCTAAAGCTTAGGTCTTGTAACCCTTTTGCCACACTGAGAATTGCCGTTTCGAGCCTAGTTGTGACTTCACCGCTTGCCGTCTCTATCCAAACCGCGCCTCTTCGCTTTCTAATGCAGGCTAGCCGCGGCAGCGCCGCTCAGCTCCAACAGTCTCGGATGGCGGCAGCAGTGGCCGTACCGCTACCGCCTCCCGACCCCCAGGCGGGCCGCGACTGGCGTGGTGATTGGGCCCGGCTTCGGAAGCTGACCGCAACCGGCAACAGCAACAACGCCGGGAGCAGCAACAACGTCAGCAGCAACGGCAGGGGCAGCACTGATGTGGGTGATGAAATGGACTCTGCAGTTTCAGCAGCCCTTGCCATGGGTGCGTCGGCCCCTGCATGAGTTATGCAGGAGCACGAGTGACGGACTGCGAAGCGAAATCTACCGCGATGCGACGGCTTGGCATTATTTCTCCCGGCTGCCTGCTGCTGAGGGGTATCGGTGTGGCCTGGGGGAGCTGTGTCCGTTGCATTGAAGTGTGGGAATGAGTCTCAGATGCCCCAAGGGACTTACAAGCAATGTCTGAACAGATACGGGTAGCTAGACGATACTCTGTTGGTGGCCAGCAGCGGTATATGGTGATGAATTCCGTGCCATTCGGCGTTATACAGCAGTACTACACATACAACCGTTCTTTGCAGCATGCCATGGCCTGGTATGGCATGCCTTGGTACGGCTAAGTATGTGCACTTCATGACCTGGCATGCTGGGAAACAGCCATGGAGGGAGGTGTGCGTGCTTCAGGCTTGTATAAGATTGTATCCCGATGCGCATGTCCCATACTAGTTATCAATGAAGTCTGCAGAGATATTATCATATCAGCGTCGAGCGTCGACGCGTTGCAAGCATGCAATGCATTAGGAAGAGCGCATGGATGGTCGTTTCCTCCAAGTATATATGACACGCACGTAAGCACCGCGCAACCAGTTAGGGTTTGTGTATGTAGAGGAGCAGTGCGGAGCTGCCAGGCGGCAGGAGAGGTACAGGCTGGACTTCCTAAGCCTCCGCTACCCGGTGTAGCCATGCATGATTGCAAGAATGGATGTCTATCTGTATGTGTATCGCGGTGGAAGATTTGAAGGGTCGCAATCCCGAATCAGGGCTGAGATAGAAGCAGGATATCCAGAATAATGCTAAACCCAACACTGGTTGTTTATGCACATCCCCTGTGCTGTGCAGGCCCTATAGAGGCGACACTTTGTAACGTTAGTCACACAGTCCAACAATTTGGCCCTTACGCATGCCATTTCCGTCCTAGCCTTAAACTATGGAAGGCCACCCACAGCAGCAGGGCCATACCGCAGCATGAGCTGCGCCTGAGATAGAAGAGCGACCCATGGGTCCTTTAATGCTCCGAGACTCCTTGCCTTCAAGCTTCGCAAATACTCGGAGCCCTCTGTTGTCATCGTTGATGGTTGTGATGTTTGGTGAGTGCGGCAAATAGGGCGTGCCTTGCTACCGCTGAGTGGGTTAACCCACTACTGCATGCTCTGTCGGCGAGTTCCTTTAATGTACCTCGAGGACATAGCTTGGCTTGCATTATACTAAATTCCCCTTATGCAGCCTCATGCAAGTCACCTAATAGTGTCGTTTGCTTGAAGAAGCTCTCGCACTGCCGTATGCATGTTTGCCTCATCGTACATGCTACTACAGACGACCGGATTGCGAGAGCGGTCCTCGCACTGAGACCTATGTCGAGCATTATGTATAAGCTGTGCTCTGTATTTGATGCGGTT